GGCTACAGTTATGACAGAAAAGGTTCCTCTTTCGTGTACTTTCTATTGACAAATGGTGCCCCTTTCATTTACAAAGTTTAGAACGCCTCTCTTCTTTTCATTCAAATTACAGAGCATTCATAACTTATCAAAGGAAGTCTCTAACCTACTGTTGTGACTTAGTCCTGGCGAAATTTGTCGAGCGCGCGTGGGTCGTAGCGGCTTGCAAACTCGGTTGGTTCATACATATTTTATGTATATATCCAATGGTGTTTGCCATGGCATAACAGTTTACATTATGTCAAACAATCGCTGAGCAGGAAACTTAAACAAACCGAGAACGTTCCACCTGCGCTGTCACTCATTTTATGTCAAAGCACGTTTGAGGTGTTGGACAGTTGCTCGTTCAAGAAAACCTACTCAAACTGTAGCAAAATGGTGGAAACAAACTTAACTGGAGAAGGAATCTATAAAACGTTCGAACAACTTTATTGTTCCAAAGAACTGGCGGCCGGAAAGGTGAAAAATAATTTAATAATCTTGTGTGTGATAAATATATTCCTGTCTATTACCGCATCTGTGGGGAATACTCTGATTCTAGTTGCTCTGCGCAAGGAAACTTCACTTCATCCGTCGTCCAAACTCCTGTATCGTAACCTAGCGATTACTGATCTCTGTGTTGGTATCATCGTGGAGCCTGTTATTGTTTGTTACTGGACATCGCAGGCGATGGAACGATGGGATATTTGTCGCTACGTTCTTGTTTCAAAGTATGTGATCGGCTTTATTCTGTGTTCAGTATCTTTGATGACAGTCACTGCATTAAGCGTGGACAGACTTCTCGCCTTGTTGCTGGGTCTCAGATATAGACCAGTTGTAACTTTGAAAAGATCATACGCAATTATAACCATCCTTTGGGCTAGCGCCACTGTCGCTGGAACAATCTACGTTGTGCACCCATTTGTAACTCGCTGGATCGGTAACGTAGCTATAATACTCTGTTTGATCACTTCGATCTTCTCGTATTCTACCATTTTCTTTACTCTTCGTAACTACCAAATTAAGCCACAGGAACACGTCTCGCAAGCACAGTCACCTCAAGCAATTCCACTGAACATGGCTCGATACAGAAAGGCAGTATCCAGTGCATTATGGGTGGAAATAACATTAGTTGTTTGTTATCTGCCGTATGTTGTTGCGGTACTCTTAACGCCTAAACGAGAATTATCTTTGCCACATTACCTTGCTAGACAATTTGGAGCTACCGTCATGCACTTAAACTCGTCGTTAAACCCGTTGTTGTACTGCTGGAAGATCAAAGAAGTTAGGCAAGTGGTGAAAGGCACTCTAAGACATATTTTCTGTTCGTTTGTTTAATTTCTGTGTTTTTCATATTCTTATCAGTCCTTTAAGCTGATCTTCCCCTGCGTTTCTCATGTTCTTTTTCTTTTTATTTTCTACTTATTTTTTTTCCGAGCGTTATATCTTTTATTAATGAGAAAACGTTGCCATGTAGATTCTCTCCTTTATATGTAGGTTTTTATTATTCTTAGGTTTATTAAGGCTAGAAATAAGTGCTATTTAGTAAAACATTCCATAATTTTTGCTCGGTATGTGTAATACAAGTAACGATTTTACAGTTTCCCTCGATTATGTCTCTCACTTCCTCAGCATCCACAAAGCGGAACTTTTTTTAACGCGTTAGCAGGTGGGGGAATGCGCAATCCTTTTTCGGAAAAGTTACGTTGAAAGACTTCTATTTGCAATTTTATTTCCCTTTCTGCAACTCAAAGGGGCAAATCTGCTAGAAAAGCGAAACTCAAGAAAGCCCCGGAGAATACAAGTGACAATGTTAGTCCATCTTTATACAGCTTTTACTTCAATAAATGCAAATTACGTAAAGACATTTGACAGTACCGTATTCATAACTCATCACTCCACTAATTCTTAACTGCGCCAAAAAGTTTCTAGTCCGCTTATTGTTGTAAATTATCCCTGAAAGACCCTCAGCGACTGAATAATAAGCTACTAGCATATTACGCCTGCTATTCGTTTGTTCAGTAGAAAAACCAATTTAAAAAGACTAACAACCTGCTCGAAACCCGGCTATGCCCCTTAAGATTTTGCATTGCGGTTAAATAGGCTCTCAATATTAGAAAATAAAACAGCTGCTGTTATTAGAAAACCACACGGCTTACTCAAAACGCAACAACAGGATGTTAACAAACTCAACTGGAGAAGAAAACCCTAAAACGAAAGAACAACTATATTGCTCAGCAGAGTTAACTGAAAGGGTACACATCCATTTAATATTTCTTGCTGTGATAAATATATTCCTGTCCATTACCGCATTCCTGGGAAACACTCTGATTCTAGTTGCTCTGCGAAAGGAATCTTCACTTCATCGCCCGTCCAAACTCCTGTATCGTAACCTAGCGATAACTGATCTCTGTGTTGGTATCATCGTGGGACCTTTTAGCGCTGCTTATTGGATATCTGAGGCGATGGAACGATGGGATATTTGTTTCTACGCCCTTCACTTATCATCTATGATAAGCAGTGTTCTGTGCGTAGTGTCTTTACTGACATTAACTGCAATAAGCATTGATAGAGTTCTCGCCCTGTTACTGGGGCTCAGATACAGACAGATCGTAACTTTGAAGAAAACATATGTTGTTATGCTAATCTTCTGGGTTTGCTCCATTGTCGCTGCAGCTATGTATATTGTGAACACGCTTGTAACTTCCTGGTGGGCCAACATGGTTACATTTCTATGTCTCGTCACCTCGATCTTCTCTTATACCAAAATTTTCCTTACTCTGCGTTACAATTCAATTCAGCCACAGGAACAAATCTCGCAAGTACAGTCAACCCAAGCAACTCCACTGAACATGGCTCGATACAGAAAGGCAGTATCAAGTGCGTTGTGGATACAGGTAACATTGGTTGTTTGTTATCTTCCGTATGCCGTCGCGGTATTTCTAACACCTCAAGGGAAATTAACTTTACATAATTACCTTTCTCGACAATTTGGGTTTACGGTCATTTGCTTAAACTCGTCATTAAACCCGTTGTTGTACTGCTGGAAGATCAAAGAAGTCAGACAAGCGGTGAAACAGGTGAAAGACACTCTCAGACAAATTTGCTGTTCGTTGGTTTAATTTCTATGCAACCATACTCAATTTATTAGAGGGTAAATATTTTCCTCTCTTGCCCTTTTATTTTTGTTCTGCATGACTTTTGTACTTTTATTTATTTATTTATTTATTTATTTATGATTTGCGTGAAACTTATTTGTTTTGATTTACGATAGACCCTTGGAACAAAATGCCGGTAAAAAGAAAAACAAAAATACATGATGCTTTAGTCGATTCTCTCTTCCGACTGGTGATTTTAGCTTTGTTCGGTTTATCGAAACAAGAATTTAGTGTTTTTAAGATAAAGATTCAATAATATGTGCCTCAATTGTGTGCTAAAGTTAGAGCACTCGATTATGTTTCCTTCTTTGTAACATTTAAAACATTTTTAACACTGACATGAACAGTGGCCCTTTCAAACAACTGATTAATTAAAACGATGCTTATATCGATTCTCTCTGAAGTTTTTTATGCTTATCGATGTCAGAATTACGCGTTCTTTAGTTAAAAAATTCAATAATTTGTGCTGTTTGTGTATGAAAAGCAGAGATTTTAAAAAGCCTTTAAAATATAACAGGTTCCCTAGATTATGTCTTCTTCATCCTAGTTATCCACAAAGCGGAATTTTTCAATCCGTTAGCAGGTGCGAGAATGAGTAATCCTTCTTTCAGAGAAGCTTTTCAGGAAATTTTTTTAAAATTTATATTCTGTTACTCAAAGGCAAATTTGCAAGTAAGTAACTAAGAAAAGCAAAACCCACAAAGGACCCGAATAACGCACAAGTGACAAATTTAGTCTAGTGTTTATTTCATTATTCAAAAAATGGAAAAGACGTAAAGCGGCAGTGTGAGCTAAAGAAGAGTGGTTAAAATTGTGACGTTTTAATTGCTTTTTTGACGTTGATTACTTAATTTCCATATAAATTAAAAATCAGCTCTAATTACCTCAGTAGCAGGTGACACTGAAATGACGCAACTATCCATTCAAATATTTGCTCCCTACTCCAAAACATCTTCAATCGTTAGCCATGTTTTCAAATTTTTTCGAAGTCATAGGTCGAATTTCTAAGCAGCCTGCCATTTTTCTGACTGCTACTAAAATACTAGCCTGAGTATCAGGCCTTCGTAAGGGGCTATGGGAGAGGAGATTTTAGATGGGAGAGGGGGAGAAGAGAAAGGAAGTTTCTCTCCTTCAGCTCTCTCCCTTTTTCGCTTCCATCTTTCCCCTTTTCCCCAGAAACGCCTGATACTCAGGTTACTAAAATACCGTATATCCTTACTCGTTCTTTTTTCGCCTTCCTTCCAGCTGAGTCTGAATTTGAAATAATGTCGTTACCAAATAATAAAAGTCATGGGTTATATTTTTGTCCAACTTTTCTTCTAAACTGCGCCAGAAAAGCTATTAGTAGTCCGCTGGCAGAAAAATAATATTGAATTTTTCAATTCATTTAGGAAAATATTATTCCAAACTGAAATATTCGGCGGCGACTGCCGGAAAATGGGTCTCATCAAAAACTACTTTCAGTTAAAGTATTAGTCTGCGCCACATAGAAAACTAAACTCTGGTTAAGTCCGTCTGCAAAATCCTTGTTCTAGGTCCCCACCTGTGTACCGGGATTTGAGTACGCGCCATGATTGGCAGGTTGAAAAAGCAATTGTCGATTTGCCAATCAGGTTGAAAGGATATTCGAAATACATTTCTGGTAATTCGTTGAGTCCGCTGGGGCTCAAAACAAGGATTTCGCGCTGTTTCGCAGACCTTGCCAATTAGGGTTAAACTACATCTGCGACGCATGCTACAAAAGTATGTAACTGAGTTAGTCGCAAAAAATAATCACATGTTCTAAAAAATGATGGCTTCCTTTCTACAATTTCTAAACTAGGGAAACAAATGCGTTAGGAGATTGTCAGTAATTGATTGTCAGTTAGTTTTCCTTTGGCAAGTAGGAGTTCAAAAGACAGATGCAGGTAGGAATTAAATTAAACGGCCGAGATCCCCAATTGCAAACATGAACCATAGGTGGTATTACAAAATAAGTTAACATATATTCCTCTATCTTGAAGTCTATTAGATACATTCTTGATCAGAAACATAATTTTCTCCGAGTTATCATAGTTAACACGAATTTGAAGTAATTTGTTCAAATCTACAACCTTCGCAGGTAAATTCGATTGCCACACCCTAATACCAACCACAATAACAATCAACTTCCTGCCTCACTGGGCACAAAACGCAAGTCAAATACCTGGAGATTCTTAAAACGTAAACTGTTAAACAAAGCTTTTGTTTCTAGCAATTATAACGTTCAACTCATGGGGCCTAAGTCTACGTAATTACTTCGGTAATTTAGGTCTATTCTCTGCAACTAAATGCAGACTTCCATTATAAAAAGCAAAATATTTTAGAAAAAAGGGAGGATTGCGCTATTTGAACTCTGAATTTTAGTTTGTTACTTAATAATTCTGGGGACGGGATAGGACAGGCTATTAGCATTCACACGGTGAAGCTAAGGATCCTTTCGGTTGGGTGCTAGTGTTTTCTTCATTAATTTTCAAGTTTATTTCTCTATATTTATTAGCATAGGAGAGTCATTTCTCCACTCCCGGCCCCGCCACGCCTAATCATAAAATCTAGAAAAAAAAAACTAGAGAAAAAACAAACAAACTGAATGTAACAAAAGCTCTAGCATTGACCAAGCCTAGTGTCTATCTCATTTCACATCCATCAGAGAGCATTAATAAGTCATTAGTCCACTAATTGTAATCTGCGCCAAAAAGTCCCCCACCGACTGTAACAGTTGTAAATATCCCTTAAAAGCCCTGAGGGGCATAGATAACAAGATATTTAAACTATGTCAGTCAATCACTTGTAATTAGAAAAACTAACTGAAAACCATCTTCAACTGCTCGAAACCGGCCGGACCTTCGCCGCTGAAATGCGCTCAGATAGTTTTGCGATATTAGACAGCTGCTGTTATCAGAAAACCACACAGCTTACAAAAAATGCGGCAACATGATGTTAACAAACTTAACTGGAGAAGGAAACAACAAAACGATCGAACAACAATATTGCTCAGCAGAATTAAGTGAAAAAGCACACACCTATTTAATTTTTCTGTCCGTGATAAATATGTTTCTGTCCATCACGGCATTTCTGGGGAATACTCTGATTCTAGTGGCTCTGCGCAAGGAATCTTCTCTTCATCCGCCGTCCAAACTCCTGTATCGTAACCTAGCGATAACTGATCTCTGTGTTGGTTTCATCGTGGAGCCAATTGCTATTACATATTGGATTTCTCAGGCGATGAAACGGTCGGATATTTGTCAATACGCCATATACTTAACATACGTAACAGGCCATGTTCTGTTTTTATTGCCTCTGTTGACAATAACTGCAATAAGCATCGACAGACTTTTCGCCTTGTTGCTGGGGCTTAGATACAGACAAGTCGTAACTTTGAAAAGAACATACGTAGTTATAACCATCATTTGGGCTATCTCCATTGTCTCTGGGGCAATTTACAATGTGAACTCCCTTGTAGCCTTTTGGTGGTGGAACATAGTTAAATCACTGTGTCTCGTCACCTCCACCTTGTCTTATACGAAAATGTTCCTTACTCTGCGTCACAACCAAATTCAGCAACAGGAAAACATCTCCAAACCACAGTCAACCCAAGCAACTCCACTGAACATGGCTCGATACAGAAAGGCAGCATCAAGTGCATTGTGGGTACAAGTAACTTTAGTTGTTTGTTACCTGCCGTATTTTGTTGCAGTAGTTCTAACGCCTCATGGAGAGTTACCATTTCCAACTTACCTTGCTCGACAATTTGGGGTTACTATTTTATTCCTAAACTCGTCATTAAACCCGTTGTTGTACTGCTGGAAGATCAAAGAAGTTAGACAAGCGGCCAAAGAAACACTCAGACAGGTTTCCTGTTCGTTTGTTTAATTTCAGTATATTTCGTACTGAATATAAAGTTATTGTTCGGTAAAGGTTGTCCTCTCCTGTCTTTGCTCATCTTTTTTTGTCATTTTGTTTTCACTTTTTCTATTGTTTTTGCTTGGCGCAAAAACAAATTGTTTTACAATTAGCATCAACGGTGAAACCGTTCGGGCAAAATGATTAAAAAACGACGTTTACGTCGATTCTTTCCGCAAATGTACATTTTTGAAGTGTTTTTAGTAACTATCCACAATGCGGAGATTTCTTTCCGTTATAAAACAGGTGCCAACAGATAATCCTTTTTGCAAACAATTTAGGCGAAACAACGTCTGTTAATAGGTTTTTTATTACTATAAAGAAGCGAATTTGCAAGTGAGTTGGAAAAGTGACAAAAATGACAATTTTGGTCCGTCTTTAAACTGTGAAGCGCTAATTGTTTTTGCGTTTTTTTCAAGTCGACTAATTACTTAGTTTCCATATAAATTAAAAATCAGCTGTAAATTGCTTCAGAGGCAACCTGTTAAGTTATGACTGTTGGGAACTATCCGTTCAAATAGCTGATGATAATTATCCTAAAACATCTTCAGTTGCCTGTCACGTCTCCTAATTGCGTAGAATTTGTCCTACTTTTAATTTTCTTTCGTTTGTGAAAATTAATCTTCCCAAGAAGCTGAAAGTTTAATAATAGCCGGCGTCAAATGAATGATGAAGCAATGGTGGACACCTTTGTATTTGCACGCTTGGCTCTGTCCCTTTAGTGCCGTGTAAAGAGGGTCTAACTATATACTTACAATAATGTTTCTCTTAAAAATTTAACACTTATCTGGTTAGTTGGTTGGGTCATCAGAATGTGGAACGAGCTAGGCTTGGGCTTGATTCCCAAGGGTATAAAATAACTGGGGAGAAATTCCTACATTTGTTTGATTTCCGCAACAAATGGTTAGACATAAGACATTCTAAACTTTTCGGAGAAGTCTAAGGAACCATGGGCCCCATCTCAAGCTATGTGCAAACAAACGCAACAACTCCCAACATTGTTGGGCCAACAATGTTGGGACTTGTTGTGTCCGTGTTGGCAGCGCATCGTGGGAAAAAGCAACCCATAAGCCTTTGTAAACCATGTGTAATGCGCGTGCATGGCCCCAACAATTTTGGAAGAGCTGTGCAAACGGATCCAACATTGTTGCGCTACGCTTCGGCGATCAAGAAACAGCAGAAATGTTGGGAGTTGCTGGCTCAAAATTTGACAAGTTTCAACATCAACACGCAACATGTAATATCCAACAATGTTGCGTTCGTTTGCACGGAGCTTAACAGTACTTTCACTTAATCTGACTCTGTCAGCTCTTTGCATCACCTGTTAAATAACAGGAATTCCAGTGAGCCGGACTGGACTTCAAAATCCAACCCTGTTGGAGTTGTGTACCTTAAAAAAAAAATCCGAAGTGAAGTTACAGCAACTGTGATATCTGTCGTTAGCTGTAATACCACTTGTCCAGGATTATAATAACCAAGCTAGCGTAAATTGTAACATAACGTTATAGAAAGTAGTAATTTGTAATGAGCTGAACTGCCGTAAATTGAAATAACAACATTGTCTATAATTTTGTAATAAGCCTCAATTTTTTTGTTCTATGATTATTGTCAGATATTACGGTACATTACTGTTCACTAGATGCAGGAAAACTAAAATTAAACACAGCATATAATTGCTCAGTAGAATTAACTGGAAAATTAAACAGCCTTAGTTTCGTGATCAACATATTTCTGTCCATTACATGTACAGCTGAGAATCCCCCCCGGTACAAAAACGGCAACATTAGGAAGTTTTAGCAACGACGACGGCGACTTCAACGAGAACGGCAAAAAAACAATAGGTTGAGATTGGCAAAACAACAACTCTGTCCATGCATCACGATTCTTTGTACGTTTCTTTGCCGTTGTTGGACGACTACGACGTGAAACTGCCTAACTTCACGTTTTGTTGAGGACGTGAGCAGGAGACAACGATTTTACCTTTCTTTTCCTGAACTTCGATAGTCTTTTAGAAGTCAACTCCAGAAAAATTAGCCAACATTTGACGAATTCAACGGCCATGGAATGTCGTCGCTGCTTCAGTTCCTTATTATCTTAGCAGAGGTGAACGGCACACCCGCCATGACGGCTGTTACTAAGACGTGTTCAACGAAAAACGGGCGATCATGTTAGGTTTTGTTCACATTTCTTATTTTCCCGTTGCCGCTGCTCGTTCTCCGTTAAGTAACATCTCGCCATCACACAAGATTCCATAAAAGAAGATGCTTTCGTTGTCAAACCTTTCCAGTTTACTTCTGCAGGACTCGTATATTCATCTCCTCCTCTTGTTTTCATCCCGTTGTATTATTGCAATATTTTGCTGATTTTATTTTCCACACGACTTTTTCGCCCCGCAATACGTCCCAAGGTCTTTTCGGTTGATTGTTCATTTTTCTGGCAATTATGCCGCACAATTGACGTCATTTTTCACATATCGCAAAATTCTTCCAAATTTGGTTGACTATAGCTGGTTATGATGAATTATGCGTGGGATATTAGCCAATCAGAAACGGAGAAATATTTTGAATGAACAATAATAGCATTTATTGAAGTAATGCAAAGCCACCTGTTCTTAGTTGGCAAAAAAGATAAGAAAAAAATGCCTTTTTTTAGCTTACAAACAAGTGATAAAGAGGATTATCATATATATAATATAGACCGCCCACTGTCCGCTAGTTACAAAAAGTAAAGAGACAAAAAAGAAAGTAATTAGTTTCTCTCCATGCAAAAAGATATGAAAATTTATTTTAACATCGTCGAAGTTCAAAATTTACCACTGTATTACATTCCAAGTGAATCGGACTGCCTCCTTCTTCAGTAAGGAATGAAATCCAGCTCTGGGCAGCCCAACACGAATGGCCGACCGTGTTTATTAATTTTAATCGTACAAAGTTACATTCCTTACTTAAACATACAAAGGAAAATGTTGCCAATCTGATACCTAAAAAGATTGGTTTGATAATATTGCAAAAGTTTTTAGTATGCTTTGCAATAAAACGGCGATGTGGAATATCAAAGGTAAGGATGGAAAAGGACAAATGAAGAAGTGTTTTGCTTGAGAGATTTAACTAAACACAAAAACTAATCACCTCGTTTTCGTCTTCGTAAAACAGATTTTTCAGTGCTCCTCCGATGAGAACTTGGAAAAAGACGATACAAGGTTGGATTGTAGACAGCTGCCATTTACGTAACAAAGAAATTTGTTACACATTAGTTATATAAAAAGAATGGTTGCAGAATACGATACGGGAAGGAAATACATGAATTGCTTGAAAACGTTACCTGAAGAAGCACAGAACCATTTGATGTTTCTTTCAGTGCTAAATATATTTCTGTCCATTTCCGCAGCTTTGGGAAATATTCTGATTCTAGTTGCTTTGCGCAAGGAATCTTCACTTCATCCGCCGTCCAAACTCCTGTATCGTAATTTAGCGATAACTGATCTCTGCGTTGGTATCATCGTGGAGCCTGCCGCTAGTTTGTATTGGATATCTGAGGCGACAGAATGGTGGGATATTTGTCAGTTCGTCTTCGACTTATCATCTGTCGCGGGCTTTGTTCTGTGCTCAGTGTCTTTGATGACAGTAACTGCAGTAAGCATTGATAGACTTCTTGCACTGTTGCTGAAGCTCAGATACAGACAAGTTGTAACCTTAAGGAAAATATATGCCACATTAACAATTTTTTGGGTTAGCTCCATTATCCCTGGAACAGTGCACTCTGTGAATCCTCTTGCAACTTCCTGGTGGGGTAACATTGGTACATTATTGTGTCTCGTCACCTCAACCTTGTCTTATACGAAAATTTTTCTTACTCTGCGTCAAAACCAAATCCAGCCACAGGAACATGACTCGCAAGCACAGTCAACCCACTCAACTCCACTGAACATGGCTCGATACAGAAAGGCAGTATCAAGTGCTTTATGGGTACAAGTGGCATTAGTTGCATGTTATCTGCCGTATGTTGTTGCGGAAGCTATGACGCCCCATGGAGACTCTTTTCCATATTACCTTGCTAGACAATACGGGAGCATTTTTCTTTACTTAAACTCGTCGTTAAACCCGTTCTTATACTGCTGGAAGATCAAAGAAGTCAGAAAAGCGGTGAAAGAAACACTCAGACAAGTTTGCTGTCCCTTGGTTTAATTTCTATGTCTTTCATACTGAATCATCATGCTTTTTTCCCTAATTTTCATTACCGTTTTCATCGTTTTTCTACCATTATATCTGTTTTTAATTATAAAAAGTGACCCTTTTCTGTTTGGGAAACCCCATGCAGGTAATTAACATGTAAACTGCGCCGCAAGTGGTTGGGCACTGTTTTGAAGTAACGCTCTGAGGACATTTAGTGGATAATAAGATATTTACATTATGTCAACCAATCGCTTGTTATTTGGGCGTCGCCCAGCTCGCTTGTTTTGATTCAAAGTTGTAATAGGCTTGCAATACGTGCGAACGTAAACAAGCCAAGCGACGCGACTAGAATGCCTGCCGCGCGATCACGACACAGCATTTATCCTCGTTACACACATCCTACAGATAACGCGCGGCAAACAAATCGGCAGTATAAATCAAACGTTAAGGAAAAAAAAAGGTACACTAAGTAAAACAAACTCTTAAAAAAATTCAAATTAAGAGGTCGTAAAACCTGCTCTGCGCCATTTATAGATATTACATTCACCACGTTAGAAACAAGAAGGAAACTGGAACCGAGATGCGTCCCGCAATCGTTTCTGGGATAGTTACTGGAGACGCCGCGCACGTCAGCTGGGGCCTTTTCGTTTGCCAGTCTCTAGTAAAAGTCCCAGTAGTCTTTGTGAAAGTTAACTTGTCCCAGTTTCCTTCTGACTTATCAAGTGGCGAATTCCGGTCAAACGAGTTTGCGACTCATGACATTCAGCTGCCCCTATAACAAAACAACACAGCTTACTCAAATTGCACGGAGCAACATGACGATTACAAACAATATAACCAGAGAAGAAAATCAAACAACGATCGAACAACTATACTGCTCAGCACAATTAGGTGGAAAAGTAGTTTGTTTCGTACTTTCGTTAAAAATTAGTAATGGGTTAGGTAATTACTATTTGTAAACCGAAAAGGGAAAATTATATAATATGTAATATTTTTAAGATTGCTTATAAGATTAGGAAGCGGTGTTGATTAGCATTAATCAGGGAAACTCTAGTGAGTCATAGTCAGTTTACTTCCAGAGATGGTCTCATACTAACTGGAGTTACGTCATAATAAAGCCGATTTAAGAAAAGATTTGAACTTATTTACATTATTCAGAGTAGTGAAGGGATCACTTGTCTAAGGAAACCTCAGGAAACTTCGTGTAAATTGCACCACAAGCAGTCGGGCACTGCTGTACAGTATGACTGAGGCAACTTCAGGTCATGTAGTGGATAATAGGATATTTACATTGTGTCATTCAATAGCTTGGTCAGTAGAAAAACATACTGAGAAGGACGTAAAACTTAAGCTGCGCGTTTTACAGGTATTGCAATACGATAAAGCAAGTTTGCGATACAAGACCCACATCCGACAGCTGTCCTTAAAAGAAAACGACACAGCTTACTTAAATTGTAGCAACATGATAACAAACTTTACCGGAAAGGAAAGCCAGATAACGATCGAACAACTATACTGCTCAGCACAATTAGGTGGAAAAGTTCACGGCTATTTAATATTACTCTCTGTGATAGATATATTCCTGTCCATTACCGCAATTCTGGGGAATATTCTGATTCTAGCTGCTCTGCGCAAGGAGACTTCACTTCATCCGCCGTCCAAACTCCTATTACGTAACCTAGCGATAACTGATCTCTGTGTTGGTATCATCGTGGAACCTCTTAGTGCTATTTATTGGGCCTCTGAGGCAACTGAACGCTGCCAGAATATTTGTCGCTACGCCTCAGACTTTAGATACGTCACAGGCTTTGTTTTGTGCGCAGTGTCTTTGATGACAATGACTTCAATAAGCGTGGACAGACTTCTCGCCTTGTTGCTTGGCCTCCGATACAGACAAGTTGTAACATTGAAAAGATCATACATAGCTATAACAATCCTTTGGGTTGGTTCTATCCACGCTGGGACAATATACTTTGTGAACCCCCTTGTAACTTCTTGGCTCGGCAATATAGGTATATTACTTTGCATAGTCATCTCGATCGTTTCTTATTCGAAAATTTTCCTTACACTTCGATACAACCACATTCAGCCACAGCAATGCATCTCGCAAGCACAGTCAAACCAAGCAACTCTACTGAACATGGCTCGATACAGAAAGGCAGTATCAAGTACACTGTGGATACAAGTAACATTAGTGGTTTGCTGTCTGCCGTTTTTTTTCTCTTTAATTATAACACCTCAAGGAGACCCTTTACCATATTACCTTGCTACACAATCTGGGCTGGTATTTCTTTACCTAAACTCTTCATTAAACCCGCTGTTGTACTGCTGGAAAATCAAAGAAGTTAGACAAGCAGTGAAAGACACCATCAAACAAGTTTCATGTTCGTTCTTTTAATTTATACTTCGATATACTCTTTTCATGCTGAGAATTTCCTTGTTATTTGTTGAGTTATCTTTTTTTTGTTGCGTTATAGCAGCTTATAGCGGTTTTGAACAAATTAACAGAGAACGACATTTACATCGATCTAGCCAATCTCATTGTTTTTTATACCATACGAAATCCGAATCGGTTTGGAATTAAAAAAAGATATTTAGACCTGAAGCTAACTGCAAACATCGGAAACAAGTGAACCATACTCTTTATTATAACCATAGTTAATTAAAGTGGAATGGTTGGGAAACCCTTTGTTATAGGTTTTTGTTAGCTTTTTTGAACCTGACCGTGCACAGCGTTCAATGGTATTCCCATCATTTTAAAGTTATTGACCGATAGAAACATTGCATTAATTTATTCAGTCATAATTTGTGAACAGAAAACAAAGGATTGTGCACAGTCAGGGAGCTTCCAACATAACCTACAGCACCATTGTTTTCAACTTCGATGTTTGCCGGGTTTCCTTGAAAACCAGTCTCCTCTACTAACTAGGTTATAACCCGAGACTAAAGCCCCAGACTCAAGAAAAAGGTATAACAACCAGTAAGCCTATAGAGTGTTGGTCTTCTTAAAAAAAAGAAAGGAACAGATGGGTAAAGATAGAGATCAGTTTGCAGTGGACTGCTTTGCTTCTCCAACATGACCGCCTGATCTGTTTGTTTACTCCTCCAACACGCTCGTCTTGATTAATAAAAAGTATTGTATTTTCTTTAAATATTGTTTTTGAGTTTGGGAATAACAAATTGTATACAATATGTAATATATAATTGCCTGTAAGGCAAGGAGGAAACGGGATTGATTAGGGCTAATCAGGGAAACTCTCCTGAGTCATTCTTTACTCTCAGAGATGGTCTCATACTAAATCAGGTGTTGTCATTATGGAGCAGATTTAAAAAAAGAATTGAACTTCTTTAGATTAGTCAAAGTAGTTATATGATCACTGATCTGAGGAAATCTCAGGAAATTGCATGTAAACTGCACTACAAGCAGTCGGGCACTGCTGTGAAGTATGACTGAAGCGACCTCAGTGCATATAGTGGATTATAAGTACCTGTTTTCATGAAGGTGGGGGACCCCAGGTAGGTGAGGTAACCCGCTTAGATTGGTAACCCACCTGTCCATATAATCTCCTATTTTAATTTGATCACGTTTGCATGATAGATGGGGTGACCCGCCGTGGGTTACATGTAGACAGGCCCTAAGATATCTGTAGATTATGTCAACCAATTCAACCAATAGCTTGGTCAGTAGAAAAACATACTGAGTAGGACGAAAAACTTGCTCTGCGCGTTTTACTATTACATTGCAGTAAAGCGAGTTTGCGATAATATACCCATATTCGACAGGTGCCCTTATAAGAAAACGACACAGCTTCCTTACATTGTAGTAACATGATAACAAACTTTACCGGAAAGGAAAGCCAAATAACGATCGAACAACTATACTGCTCAGCACAATTAGGAGGAAACGTTCACGGCTATTTAATATTACTGTCTGTGATAAATACATTCCTGTCTATTACCGCATTTCTGGGGAATACTCTGATTCTAGTTGCTCTGCGCAAGGAGACTTCACTTCATCCGCCGTCCAAACTCCTCTATAGCAACTTAGCTATAAGTGATCTTTGTGTTGGTATCATCGTGGAACCAGCAGCTGTTTCTTATTGGATATCTGAGGTGATAGAACGATCGGATATTTGTCTATACGCCTTAGACTTAGCATATGTCACATCCTATGTTCTGTGCTCTTTGTCTTTGGGGACAACAACTTTTATAAGCCTGGACAGACTTCTCGCCCTTTTGCTAGGGCTCAGATACAGACAAGTTGTAACTTTGAAAAGAATATATTTAACTATAACATTTCTTTGGGCTATCTCCAGTTTCGCTGCAACAACGTACTTGGTGAGCCCCGTTGCACACCCCTGGTTTGGAAACATAGGTCTATCACTCTGTTTAGCCATCTCAATCTTTTCTTATACGAAAATTTTCCTTACCCTACGTTACAATCACATTCAGCCACACCAAAACGTCTCGCAAGCACGGCCAACCCAAGCATCTCCACTGAACATGGCTATATACAAGAAAGCAGTAGTCAGTGCATTGTGGATACAAATAACATTAGTTGTTTGTTGTCTGCCGTTTTTTTTCGCTTTAGTTATAACACCTCAAGGAGACCCTTTACCATATTACATTGCTCGACAATTTGGGGCTGTATTTATTTACCTAAACTCGTCATTAAACCCGTTGTTGTACTGCTGGAAAATCAAAGAAGTCAGAAAAGCGGTGAAAGACACACTCAAACAAGTTCCCTGTTGGTTACTGTAATTGTATATCCATTTCATGCTGAACATGTCCTTGTTATTTGTTAAACGTTATCTTTTCTTTGTTGCGTTATAGCTGTTTTAAACAATGTTGACATAGAACGACGTAAACATTGATTCTCTCCAATCTTATTGTTCTTCATATCATACAAAATTAGAATCGTATTAGTATCAAAAATAGATATTTCGACCTGGGGCAAGGTGTATACTTCCCGGTAAAGACAAACGTTGGACGTTCCGCCCGAGGCTAAAGCCCTAGACCGCCAAAAAGAACCAGGGGTCAATTTAATAAAACTTTTCCAAGTGTAATTTACAAGTGAAGCTATTGCTTTCAGGGTCTAAAACAATGGCTACACTTGTAAACTACACTTGTAAATCTTTTATTAAATTAAAACCAGCAAGCCCTTTTGGTCCTGTGATCTGTGGCCATCTTAGTTTTCTTAAAAATGGAAACAGTTGCATAAAAATAGAGTCCAGTTCCCATTGGACAGCTTTGCTTTGCTTCGTTTACTCCCCCACTGCAAGCCCGCCGTGACGTCAAGCGGACATGTTTTGCATCTCTGTTTGAAACTTCCTCCCTTGCACTGTTATTTGTATACTCTGTCTTTTTAGAGTCACAACTATGCTCTACTTCAATGAGGCAATTTATGTTTCTTTTCACTCTCTTTTTTCAAAAGCACGTTTATTATTTTCTTCTTGATTTCAGGAAACGCTGTTGCTGCCGTTAATGCCTGGATTAGCAAAAACCAATTTTAACCTGATTTCATTAAAACAGATTAAATATTTCATTGCTTAGAAAAACTGGGCCCGATAGATTTCTGTTAACTTAATTTGTTTCTCTTAGGGGAGGAACAAAACTTGAGCGACAACCAAACAAATCCACAGAAGAATTGACAATTTAAATACGTAATAATTCAAATATTAAATAAAAAGTGTTAAAACCGAGGTCCAGTTGTAAGCGTAATGCATGCACGAAAATTTCTTTGTGTCACACACATTGCAATTTAATTTTTTTTAAAAATTAATTTATATTTGCTAACAGGAAAACCTGAGATAAAGGCCTGCTGTTTTGTCGTCACGCGTGACGACACAAAGAACGGCTGCGGAGCAGAGTAACCAGTTTCGTCGCTTGTCTGTAAATGGTGGTCTCTCATATAAGTTTCCTTTAAAGCAGGGTGTTCCTCATGATTCCTGATTAGGCCCGATGGTTTTCAGCATGCATATGCCCAAGAGGTTTTAGATTGTTGAGCGTCACCTACCACAATAAAGGACCTGAGAGATCTGTCCTTAGAATTCTTTGTTTGTAACTACGTGACAAGGGGGCCATGTTGGTGGTCGATACAATAAAATTATTTTCAAATAATTTACATGAAACCAGCGGAAACAAAAAGCTTTTTTTTTGGACAACTAATATGGCCGCCATGACGTCACATGTAAACTTGCAATATCTGACAGATCATTATTGAGCTGGCAGTAATGACAAAAAGCAAAATAAAGATAGACCACCCGCTTTTAGTTAAAAGTAAGTGAAGATAAGGAAAAATTAACTAATGCATTTTTTAACTTCCAAACCAGTGATAAACGGACTATAGACCGTCCGCTGTCTGGCATATTGGAGACAGTAATGACAAGGAAGATAACTGAAATAATTACTCGTTCTAGTTGCAAATAATTATGATACATAAAAAAGCCCCAGTTCCAAATTTACAACTGTATTAAAACTCTCACTGAAAGCCGATTCCTTTCTACTATTCCGGCTTTTAGCAGGTCAAAAAGAATGGCCCGGCAAACGTCTCGCATGCACAGTCAACCCAAGCAACTCCACTAGACATGGCTTGATACAGAAAGGCAGTATCAAGTGCATTGTGGAACTAACATTGGCTGTTTGTTATCTGCCGTATGCTGTTGCGCTAGATGTAACACCTCAGATCAAGGAGAAACTTTGCCATATTACCTTGCCAGACAATTGGAGTTACAGTTCTTTACTTAAACTCTTCACTTAACCCACTGTTGTACTGCTGGAAAATCAAAGAAGTCAGGTAAGCGGTGAAAGACACACTCAGAGAAGTTTCCTGTTCGTCATTTTAGCATTTCATTATGGATATTTCCTAGTTTTCAAAAGATTCTCTTTTGATAATTTTTTTGAATGCTTTTGTAATTCACTGTACGTTGTATTATACTGATCGCTCAATATGGGGGAATCCGGATTGCGGAATCCGGGAAATTTTTGCTTGTGGGATCCAGAGTCCGGAAGAATGGGCTTTGGAATCCAAAAACACCTCAAGGAATCCGGAATTCCACTCACGAATGGAATCCGAAATCCATGTTCCACCGACAAAGAATCCGAAATCCAGTACCTGGAATCCGGAATTCACAGCATGGAATCTAGAATTCAAGACTGTCTTGGATTCCCTTACAAGGGGCGATACTGTCGTGGAAAATGAGAAAATGAATGATAAACTCTGCGTAAGGGCCAAGTTCCGCTACAGCCAGAGCTTATCCCGGTTTCTGTAGCAAGAAGCGACTAGGAATCATGTTTCTACTCCCCCTGGATGGGATGCCACTGAGTCCATGGTAGGATTACCTCCAACAGAATGTCGCTATTTTATACACCTTGGTGAACACAGACAAAGTCAAGCAAAGTTTCGTGTCTCACGAAACGACACAATGGCAAGGATTGAACCCAGAGCTCCACATCCGAAGACCGAGGTGATAACCGCTTGGCTGCCACGCCTCCACCGCATGAAAAGTGACCCTTCTCGATCTGCACATGTAGAGCGTATAAAATGTAAATGTAAATGTAAATGTCGCGATTGAGAGGACAAACATACATGTCCTCTTTACATAGCTTTTTGCCCTGGGCTCGGACATCAGCATACATAAAATTTCACCAGCGTCTTTATTTCTAAGTTCAGTTCTTTCGCAAGTGCAAACTTGCAACCTTAACTGCATTTAACTTCTTAACATTTAAGTTTAAATGGTTCTTCCTTAACATAATTTTTATAAATCTCGGAAAGAATTTCTTTGCAGTAAGTTCTGAGAATCTAAGGCTGAATCCGAATTAGAATTATTTTGACTTATATGTTCGTTTGACTGATTGCTTTCGAGACCTGTGATATACAATTATACATATTGATGTAATTTCAAGTTTTATTCATATTTTTGTTTGAATATATTATACATATATGAAGTTTTTTCTTCTAGTTTCTTTTTGTTTTAGTTAGTCCATAACGGACGTAGAGTTACTCAGAAAACAATGGAATTTGTGCCAGAAATGTATATAACGACTTTGAGTAATTTGCTTGCGTTTCAGGTTGTCACAATTGTTATTGTTATTATTAATATTGTTATATCAACAACTTGATCAATGTTAACGATGGCATCATTTGCCTTTATATTTAACTAAAAAAGTCTGGACAAAATTCCTTTGCAGATCATCTAGGCTTGTTTATTTTGCATGCACGCAGAATACTCGCCTTTATGCTTTCAACCCACCTTGATCCCATTTCCAAGTGCAAAAAATTCAAACTGATAATTTAGTAGTGGTCCTGCAACGTTAACGCACTACCGCAGATTAGTCAGGCATAATATAAATTCGTTAAGTTTCCAAAACAAGCCTTGAAATTAATTTAACCGTTCACTCTTTGGCAAGGTTTTCAATAAGATAAGGTACTATACAAGGCTTCATTAAGTAACTGAGATGGCGAATTAAAATGGTTTCTGAGAGATTCTCAATTGTTCTGAGCTCACACCAGGTAAGCAAACTGAGTCTGTCGAGTTGGAGTTCTGTGATTGATTTTTATACCCCTAACCGCCACGGATAAATAATTAATAGCACAAAAAGAAGCTCGTGGAAAACACGAGGAGGTAAAATGACGTACTTCAAAATGGCCGCAAGTTGTGGTAACACGGATGTGTTCGATTGTCAAGTGAAAGCTTGCGAAGAATTTTTTCAAGCGCCACTCCCTAAAGTTCAAAACTTAAAGCCATTACAAAACGACGATATACCAGAAAATGCCAAAAGATTCAAGGGACCAATCTATGATATAACAAGCTTTGATGCGCATGAAGTCGTCGCACTGCTGTCTCGCAGTGTGAACGACAGAGACCAGTTTAAGATGAATCAGACCTTCTCATGACTAGTTGTTACGAACGGCCAAGAGAACAAACCTGACGCAATCACCAGGAACTGTTCAAACTGAAAGGAAGACCTACAACACATCAACCAAGAAACGCGATGGTGTTTTTACGTCCAAGGGGAAAAAAGATGTTTAATGTACTTCAGCCAAAACGTACACAGAACTGCACCGTGCCTTAAAAGCCAATTACAAGGATACAGCATCCTTCGCGAGTGATATCATGAAACTGTTTATGGAAGACGCAGTGGTCTTTAACGACTTAGTTCCTCAAGCCACGTTTGAAGCCTATACGATTTTACTGTTTGAAATTGCCCGACGCTTAGTCGCATTAGAAGACCCAAGCAACAAGAAAGTGCAGTATGACGTTGTTCCGGTTGGAAGCGCCACTGCAAGGATCGTGGGGCTTGGCAGTAAGGATACACGCACCTTTGATGACGTGTTTCTTCCGGGACACCAATTCGACTGCTTCACAAGAAAGGTTGAGAAAAGGAAAGAAGCGATTGATAACATCAACGACACCACTCTGCAAAAATATGGAGCAAGCGTTCTCAAACAAGATTCTGTAGAAAGTCATCTTGAAGAGCTTAAAGCAATGCTACGAAAAGAAGAAAAACCAGAAGCCATGCTATAAAAAGAATTCGAGGCTCTATCAATGAGTGTTGCAGATAGTAAGGCCCTTTCGATGAAGATGAAGAAGTCTGCAGTTAATTCAGAAATATATACAACATTCGATTACATCTGATCACATGGTGTGTGGACTAATTTTTTTAACAGAACTAAGGAAAAGTAAAGACATCAAACCTTTAAAACATACCTTGATGGATGTCAGTTTATGCCAGGATAAAATACTTGTTCAATGTAAAATCGTTTTCTAGGCTACAGCAAACACTTTCGGTTTCACGATGCTGTGAAAGTACTTCCGTTGGTTAGGTGCCTTTCGTTTTGTAGGTGGTCACACATCACTTGTTGACTACATTTTCAAACATTAAAGTAATCGATCTTTGTACCTTTTAGCTTTCAATCATACCTATCTTTTTTCGATTAGATGGAAATGGTTTTGATCATCTAGAGTGATAGTGTTCTTATTCAGTACCCTCTGAAAAATTGGCAAATTAAATCGCAAGAAACTTCTTTGCATCTGTGAACAAAAGGTTTCAGTCGCGCACACCATTCCATTTGTCAGAGCGCGCAAAAATACAAGACAAGAATGTTAGAAAGTCTGCACGGGTGTACTTAATGTATTTTTTGAAATTCTTTAAATTTGAAAGGTGCTGGATCAATGACTAACATTTTGCATAGGACAAAGCCTATTCAAACTATTATAAATAGCTGCCATTTCACCCCTGTCAGCTATAAACAGTAATATCATTAACTGATGTTGTTGTGCAAAACTGTATCCTTAATTTCTGGTTTAATAAACACGATTACTAGCCAGGGTTTTTGTTTTCACTATTTCGATATAGTAAGCGGTTTTGTAGGCTCAACTTGCTTGCTCTCTCGGTTCCTGTCTTGTTCCACCCCAGGGAATGAGCTCGGGCTCATTTCACTCATTTACTCCACTGAACATGGCTTGACACAGAAAGGCAGTTTTCAGTGCATTGAGAACACAACTAACATTGGTTATTTGTTATCTGCCGTATGCTCTTGCGCTAGATGTAACACCTCAAGGGGAAACTTTCCCATATTACCTTGTTAGGCAATTTGGGTTACATTTCTTTAATTCGTCACTTAACTTACTGTTGTACTGCTAGAAAATCAAAGAAGTCGGGCAAGCGGCCTGTTCATCATTTTAGCATTTCGTTTCCCTTGATCAAAATTTTACTCGATAACTCGAATTCTGGTTCTTGCAACTCACCACGAATGCTAACCCATTTGCTTTTCTTGTCGTGCCGCCTCTGTAAAATCCCTAAAACTATGTACTACAGCAATTTGTTTTTAAGAATGTGCAACGAACAGATCACGTATTTGACAGTCATTTCCCTGTATTCTCATAAAAATGCATAATTGGTTACAATTTCTGATGAAATATGTTTAATTTGCACTCTGCTGTATACTGAAGGCCTAAATATCAGTAAACTATCAATATGAACATGGCAAATCGAGGATTCAACTGATTCCGATAACTGAACCCCCGCTATCTCGAACTGTTTTTCGTTTCCCATGAAATCGAGTTACCGGGGTTCTACCGTATTTTCAAAGTAAGCCTTGAAATTAAGTAAATCTTTTCAAAAATCTTTGGCTAGATATTCGATAAGTTACGATACATGGCTTCATTGAGACACATCTTTTAAGGACACTCTTAATGATCCTTAACTGGAATGGCGAACAACAGTAGAGAAAATCAAAAACAACATTAGATCTGTAGCACCAAGCCTTACAAAAAAGTATTACAAAAAAAGGCACATCGGCCTTGAACACTACGCCAAAAAATTTAGGACAAGGCTCAAAAACACTATTGGCTACATACCCCGACAGGACCCCGACAGGTTGAACTTCGAAGTACCTCTAGTACTTCTCACTTCCGTTTATGTCGAAAACTAGCGACCAAAAATAGTTTAGAGATGCTCAATTGTTTTGAGCCCAATCCACGTAAGCAACTGAGTCCGTCGAGTTGGGGTTCTGTGATTGGTTCATACACCGTTATACGTCACGGATAAATGATTAATAGCACAGAAAGAAGCTCGTGGAAAACACGAGGAAGTAAAAAGCCTTACTTCAATATGGCCACAAGTGACACAGATCTGTTCGATTGTCAAGTGAAAGCTTGCGAGAAATTTTTTCAAGAAAAGCTCCCTAGAGTTCAAAAATTGAAGCTATTAGCAGAAGACGATATACCCGAAAATGCCAAATCATTCAAAGAGCCAAAAATGTATGATATAACAAGCTTTAACGCGCAAGAAGTCGTCGCAGTGCTGTCTTGCATTGTGAACGACAGAGGCCAGTTTAAGAAGAATAAGACCTTCTACTTGTTGTTACGCAACGGCCACGAGAATGAACCTGACGCAACTGAGGAACTGTATAGGCTGCAAGCAAGACCTACAGAACATCAACCCTGAAATGCGATCGTGTTTTTACGTCCAAGAGGAAAGAAGAAGTTTACTGCTTCAGCCAAAAAATACGACGAACTGAACGGTGCCTTAGAAGCCTATTACGGAGAGGATACAGCAACCTTCGCGAGGAATATCAGGAAATTGTTTAAGAACAACGCAATGGCCAATAACAACTTTCCTCAAGCCTTGTTTGAAGTCTACATGATTTTACTGTTTGAAATAGCCCGACGCCTGGTTGAGTTAGAAGAGCCGAGCGAGAAGAAGGTGCAGTATGACGTTCTTCCGATTGGAAGCGCCATTGCAAGGATTGTGAAATTGCTGGAACTTGGCATAAAGGATACATGCACCTTTAAGGACGTGTTCTTTCCGAAGAGCAAATTCCACTGCTTCACAGGAAAACCTGAGGAAAGGAGAAAAGCGATTGATAAAATCAACGAGACCACTTTGGATATTGTCTAGAAAAAGACGATGGAGACATACGGAGCAAGCGTTCTCGTGCTAGTTCCTGCGGCGAAAGATCCGGCAAAAGTGTTTGCTACGCAGGTAAAATGTCATCTTGAAGAGCTTAAAGAAATGTTTTGCTCTGAAAAACAACCAGAGGCGATGCAACGAAAAGAAGACAGCGCAGAAGCCATCCTACAAAACGATCTCGAGGATTTATCAATATCAGTGAGTGTTGCGGATAGTATGGCCCTGTCGATGAAGACGAAGAAGTCTGCAGTTGCTACAGAAACATTTTCAGCATTCGATCACGCTTGATGACATGGTGTATGGACTAATTTTTTTCCGGAGCTGAGAAATCGTTCAAGGTAAAATCGTTTTCTAGGCTACAACAAACACTTTCGGTTTCACGATGCTGTGAAAGTACTTCCGTTGGTTAGGTGCCTAGAGATATATCATGAGTTACACTTTTGAAAGACAAGTTGTGTAAGCCATTTATTTTGTATCCAACAACCTAACTTTAAAAGTAGGTTAATTGCATGGAAACACTGCCTCATGGATTTTCCTACCTGCAGTTTTTACTTTAAATCATTTTCCCGAGAATTCCACCGAATACGATAGAGAAGTGGATTCATCGAGTCATTTGTATCTAATGCCCATTGGTTTCTCGGTTTCTGAATTGTATTTAGACGGGCGGGTATGGCTTCACGAGCAGTGACCAGCTTTAGAGTCTGAGCAGGCAATGTAGTACTGAAAATCTGGACCTGCCGAAAGTGATTAAAAAGCGGTAGAAGATAAGGAGCTGTTGGTTGCATTTCAATCACCTGCCTATGAATGGCCACGTATCTACTTTGCGTTTGGGACACTAAACCTGACATTCTATATCGTGAGAAGTTTACCAGTCACTAGATCCTAGACTCAGCACTCAAAGCAATGCTTACCACTAGAGAAAAACGAAGCCACTTTGCAAGGCGTAACTAATCGATCGAAGTCGATCACCGAAAACGTTATATAACAACTTTAACGATGTTTTCGATGAAATAACTTGAATTTGACTTTAACAAAAAGTCGTTTTTCTACAAAGTCTGGCAAACTTCCTTTGCAGATCATGTAGGCTTGCTTATTTTGGATGCATGCATTCTACTCTCCTTTCTCCTTTCCTGCAACCCACCTTGCTCCCAGTTCCAAGGGCAGAAAATTCAAACTGATAATTTAGTAGTGGTCCCGCAACGTTAACGCACTACCGCAGATTAGTCAGGCATAACATAAATTCAGGTCGTTAAGTTTTCAAACAAGCCTTGAAATTAATTTAATCGTTCAATCTTTGGCAAGGTATTATTCGATAAGATAAGGTACTGTATAAGGCTTCATTAAGGCACACTTTTAAACGACTCACCTAATGATCCTTAACGGGGATGGCGAATTACAAAAATCAAAAACAACATTAGATCTGTATCACCAAGCATTGAGACCTTACGCCCTCAAGACCAAGCATTACAAGAAAGAAGTCAAATCGGTCTTGGACACTATACAAGAAATTCGACACTGACCTTTGGCTACCTACTCCGACGGGCTTTTTGCCTTAACTCTGAAGTTCCCGCATCGCTCACTTCCGAATATTTCGAAATGTAGCTACCAAAAATAGTTTAGAGCTTCTCAATTGTTCTAAGCCCACTCGACGTAAGCAGACTGAGTCGGAGTTCTGTGATTGGTTTATATACCGCTAAACGCCACGGATAAATAATTAATAGCACAAAAAGAAGCTCGTGGAAAACACAAAGAAGTGAAAAAATTACTTCAACATGGCCGCATGTAGTGGTAACACAGGTGTGTTCGATTGTCAAGTGAAAGTTTGCAAAAAATTTCTTCAACAACTTTATGAAGTTGAAGACTTAAGACCATTACAAAACCACGATATACCAAAAAAAGCCAAAACATTCAAACCAATGTATGATATAACAGGCTTTGATGCGTTTAAAGTCGTCGCATTGCTGTGTCGCATTGTGAATGACACAAAGCAGTTTACAACAGGTAAGACCTTCTACTTGTTGATACGCAACGGACAAGAGTGTGAAGCTAACGACGAAACTGAAGAGCCGTCAAGCAGCCAGAAGAGCAAACAAGCCGGCGAAATTAAGGAGCTGTTCCAACTGGAAGCACTTCCTAGCGTCGATCAACCCGGCAATGGGAAAGTATATCGACTTCCCAAGGGAAGTGCAAGCTTTGCAGGTGGAAAAAGTTACAATCAACTGTACCCTATCTTAACGGAGTTCTACAAAGAGGATACAGAATCCTTTGCTTTGCACATCAGGAGTCTGTTTCAGTCCAACACGGTTGTAACACATGGTTCTCCTGCGACCATTGAAGTCTACATGCTGTTGCTGTTTGAAATAGCCCGACGCTTGGTAAATGAAAAAAACCCCGAGCGAAAGGAAAAAGAAGTTGGATAATCTTCCGATTGGAAGTGCCATTACCAACTTGGTGGAATTGCTGGAGCGAAAGAAGTGCACCTTTAAGGACGTGTTTCAAGGCAAATACTACTGTTTCACAGGAGAGCCTGATGAAAGGAGACAAGTGATTGATAGCATCAACAAGACCATCTTTGAAAATCCCGCCAATATAGAGTATAAGCAGATATATGAAGAGCTTGAAAAGATGTTTTGCTCAGAAGAAACCCGAGAAGAAATGCTATCAAAAGCATTCAAGAATGCAAATTTGACCGATAACCAAAGGAGTCTTGGTCAATAAAGTCTTCGTTCAACACAGAATCTTACAGCAATTCTTACAACTCAATCTTCTTCTTCATGCCTGCTGTATGAACTAAAAATTCTCAGAGTTGTATAATTTCCGTTGGTAGCTTTTGGTTAGAACTAGTCTAACTGATGTCGCATATTATGTTTTTATTGTTTAGTATAATATTCGAGCTCAACGGAAGACCACTTTTTGGGTCACAGCACACAATTAAACATACTAGTTGTAGAAACTTCCAAATATTAAGGAAATGATGATTACAAAGCTTTTTCTGTTTCAAGAAGCTGGGAAAATTCTTCGTAAGTTGGTTTACCTATCAATACTCACTTAGTTCTTCAGATGATTGATTCAATACAAACGCTGAAAATGAAAGACAATAATAAATATTAATGTGCATGCGGCAGGTGCCTGAAAGGCGCCGTTAAAGGACAGCAAATTTCACTTTGATATTGAAGCAAGCATGCTTTAAAAGAAGATTGTTAGATCTTTCTGTATTAAACTAACAAAGAACATACATTCCAGTAACTATTCCCCTAACGATTATTTTAACTATGCGCAAAATTATTCTAGGCAAATCTTAAAACACATCAAATGGCGTTGACCGTGTTTTTGAGAGATTATGGTAATGTATGGTAATGAGATTGAAACAAAGGAAAATAGAATTTATACCAAGGATAAAATTGAACCACAACATATACGCTGTTTTAATCTGACAACTTTAGAGTACCTTCCTATGCATAAATTCATTTCCAATACTTTACGGTACGGATTCAACATGATTAAAGCATTTCAGAATCGCTTGACTTTTCTCAATCGACATATGATAATTTAGATTTGCTGGGATTTTTCGATTTTGTGAAATTTACGGAGAATATAGGACTGTCGGTCATTTAGTGTTTTGAAAACGTTGACCGGTTACCGGCCAGATAGCCACAGCGTAATTTTTAAACCTTGTGTTTTCTGTAGCTGTTTCTATATAGTGATATCAGGTGTGCATGAGAAACTTTGCCATTTTTTCCTTTACGATGCTGCCGTCTTCTGGTGAGACAAACAGAACGATTAAACAGTTCAGTCCAATTTTTGTAACTCAAATGAATTTTGTTAAGTAGATACACTCTTTTTCAAAGAATGTATACCTTCGATGTCCTAGATGCCCACCCGGATATTCTTATTTTTCTGCTGACTTTAGGCTGACAAAACTCTTGTTTACATTCTTGTATTACAGAGTTTTGTATAAAGCGGATATCAGGATATTGAACTATCAAATGGTGCTTGATGGTATCTGTACCGTGAAACAAACCGCATGTGCTTTATCACTCATTTATCCTTATTATTGCTTAAACTTGATCATATGTCTACTTCTAAGGGCCTGTTCATATGGAGGTGGGGGACCCCAGGTAGGCGAGGTAACCTGCCTGTCCATATAATCTCTCATTTTAATTTGAACTCGTTTACATGATAGGTGGGGTGACACACCAAATAATACCTGGGGTCCCCTACCTCCATGTAAACAGGCCCTAAGTTTCTATCCGTCAGGCAGCCGAATTTTGTGAAATAAGAGAGAATTTACAGTACAGTTGTACTTTTCACAAGCCAAAATTTTTTTCTTTAAAACATGTGTGAATTTATTGTAATTTACTTTTTCAACAGCACGCAACACGTCCAATTTTCCATGTGATACTGTACTTACAATGTGATACATCTACGATTGGTCGAAAAAAGTAAATGATCTAGAGTTCGTAATGGAAACTGATTCGTTATCCGGGGGGGTACTCAACAAATGTTTATACGGGGAGGCTCCGCCCCAAGGTCCAACCCCCTACCCTTTTTATATACCATTTTGCACGAAAAAGGTACCCCTTTCGCATTTCTTCTATTGACAAATGGTGCGCCTTTCACAAACCATGTTTAGAACTTTGCATCCCTTTTGACTGCTGTAAATGCACTGTCTTTTAAATAGGGATTAGTTATAAAAGTAGAACGCTTTCTCGGCTTTATAAACCAATAAAATTCATCTGTTACCCCTTTTAGGCCCTTCAACAGACCGCAAATGACAAATTTCCCTACCCTTTTATATACTTCAACTAGTGAAATCCCTATCCTTTCATCTATCTGAAGCCTGAAAAAGATACCCATTTCGGGCGGAGCCTCCCCGTATAGGCCATCAGAGGGAGTGTACCCCCCAGGTTCGTTTCACAGTTACAAAATCGCATCTCAGACGCTTTACGAGATGCTCGGGAGGGTAACACAAGTTATTTCGATCAAAGTCTCGACAAGTCTGGACAAGATGCGTCCGCCTGGCTCAAGTCTCAGCTTAAGGTAAGCGATGTGATCAATGTCACTACTCCGGACACCATGTAACGTTCTATAGTTACAGAACGAAGGGAACTGCTTACATCCGGGAAATATGATACGCAACACGATACGTCACAATTGCAAGAATTCCTATGAAGTGTTGAAACGACGGACCAGGGTCTACTTGCTACCCCATCAAGAAGGTAAAAGACCTTGCTGGTCGCGCTTACGTTCCTCATTTGTACAACTTTAAGTTATTTATATAAGAGAATTCATATTGGCTCATTAAAATACGAGTCTACCCATAGAAGGCATTGCACGATATACCTATTTCAATAAAGGTTGCTTGAGCAATTGGGCATTGGGCCAGTTTGCCATACGGGACTCCCTGCAATGATTTGCTTGAAGGACCATTAAACAATAGCTTCAGTAGCACACTGGGGATGTTTTAGGCCTCTTTTTTGCGGGGGAATTTCATTAACTTGCGGAGAAAATCCATTAACTCCGATGACGTCATACATCGCATTAAGATGGGATGATGTCATAGTTTATTTTCAGTAGGCAAGGAGCAAGTGACGTCAGAATACCCTAGGGTTGACGTCATCAAAAATGTTGAGATCATAATCTATAAATAGAAAAGTACTTGTGCGTCTACTGTTCGCAGGCTAGACCGTTACAAAACCGTTTCCTCCTACCTATCTCGAGGAAATGAAAAACTATTAAAGTCTCAGCGTTTCACGCACCGATAGTCAGTTAATTATGCGAGTTCGCAAGCCCACCGTTCCATACAAATTAGTTCAGCTCTGCTGGAAACAACTCGAAGTTTTCAATTTCCCTGGAAGGTTCGACTGATAGGGAGTCGACTGTATTTCTTTGCCTTCAAATTAGGTGTCCGATTCAAACTTTAAAAGGGGAAACACACAATAACACAATATCAATACCATGCACCAACACCCCATAAGACTGGATCATTCAGTAAAAAAGTTGTAACGTGAAATTCTAGCTATTTTGTCGTTTCTTTTAATCCTAGATGCACTTGAGATTATTCTAGTTGGCATGTTTGATTTTCATTATTCAGTATTCATTCAAAACAAACAATTCGCCGTTTCTGATTAGCTTCAATTTACAACCAGCTGACGCCTACCATAATTGGATGGTGCGAGCAATATGCCATCGATTCGATGGTATATTGCCTATTAGAAAGATAGGACTAGAGGTCTATTATCAATGCTGCATTCTGATTGCTTAAGCTTCTACTAGGCTATATGTTATACCCCACTAGTAGCGCCGGCTTTTTGGCGGCAAAAAAAGATTAAAGTCTAGCTTTAACTAGCTAAAGTTGTTTTGTCTCGATATTTTTGACCAACTTGTTGGATTTTACTAAAACAATTATTTCTCACGCCCTCATGGCCTCTGAGTCAATAGCCCCTGAGGCCGAAGGCCGAATGGGCTATTGACTCAGAGCCCATTCGGGCTCGAGGAATAATTGTTAAATAACCCAGCGCTGCAGCCCAAATGTCATTCCCCAGTGAACCAAAAAACTGTTGTTCATGACTATCTGAAGACAAAATAGCTAAATTTTTAATAAAACTGAACGGTAAGGAATGCGAGAATACGCAAAACATGTTGCTCTATGGAATTATCTTCTTTTTGTTTAAGGAGCATCTGCGAGAAAAACATCTCAGTGGTTATATCATGAAATCGTATGGAGAAATAAGCCAATGTTTTGAAGAAAGTCTACGAGGAGGTAATCTTGTTTTAACTTCATAATAAAACAATTATAAATTTAGTAACCGCGTGCGCGCTGGCCATCAGAACTAGACAGGTGGTCACCTTTAGCAGTAATAGAGAAATTAAGATTCACGTTTACGACAAACGGCAAACGTCAGTTTCAAGTTCAGAATTTCTCAGAATACAAAATAAGTAGATAAAAACTGCCCAGAACAATTCTTATGTATAAATAAAAACTGGCGTGAAGCTACTTATTGTTTAGTTGAAGTAATAAACAGTTAACGATTAAGGGAAAAACTTGGCCACGTGGTACAAATTCACGTTTGCCGTTTGGCGCAAACGTGAATCTTAATCTCTCTAATGTCGATAAGTCCCTGGGACGAGTATTTTTGGTAAACCAAAATATTGACACCACTATCCAGCTTTTTTGTCTGGTTCAGCTATATATGAAATGTAAATAGAAGACAAGAACGCTCTTGGTAGCGTTGAGTCTCGCTTGCTTGGAGATGAGTTTTGTTGTCAAAGACCCCGGTGCTGTTATACTACTTTTTCGTTTGGAATACAAAGCGAGTGTTGTATATCATAATGTATATACTCAAAAAGTAAAAATTGCAAGGAGAGACAGGCCGCACATCTTAGCCTCAAACCGGTGTGAAACCTTTGAAAACCTTCTACATATTGATATTGCTCCATTGAGGGGTACTCTTTCAGGGATTTTACACTCGAAAAATTAAACAATGATTTTTATCGGTATCAGGGGCCCATGACTCTGTCAGTATAAATATAAATAGCTTCTCTGTACCGGACCAAGATACGGCTCGGTACACTATATGTTCAGCACAGGAAAAAAGGGTAAGTTTAACAGAACCTTATACAACACACAGTTAATTCAATTCGCGCGTATTCCTGCTGAATTTGTTGTCCGTTTTATAAGATATCAATATCGCGTGAAAGTAATGACATTTTCCATAGCTGCTTAGTATCTACTTTTAATATCTCCGTACAGTCTCAGAGTACAATGTTTAGAGTTGTTCACAGCATGCATTTTAGATAGATAGATAGATAGATAGATAGATAGGCAGATAGGCAGATAGACAGATAGATAGATAGATAGATGGATAGATAGATAGATAGATAGATAGATAGATAGATAGATAGATAGATAGATAGATAGATAGATAGATAGATAGATAGATAGATAGATAGATAGGTAGGAAGGTAGGTAGGTGGGTAGGTAAGAACCTTAGTTTACGGCACGATAAAAAGATCAGCATTGCTGGTGGGGTCGTGCATACAACAATTACAAGAAAAATAAGGAGTACTGAAAGCAAATGTACACTTAAAAATTAAGTGTTAAGATTAAACGTCAAGTTGAGTGAGTTTCTACTTTTACGCTTACATATCTGTACGTGCGGCCTTTCATACATTGTTTCTATTTTATTTGCGAACGCCAATTTTACACACGAACGCACGTAAAAATTACGTGACAGTGGATACCTGATATATCAAGTATTTGTAAAGTGCAACACGACTTAACATCTTAACAACTGCGAAAATCTATCAATTAAATACATAAAACAAAGTGAATCTATTTAACCGTCGAAGACAATATTCTGAGAAACATAACCCCTTAAAACACCACAAAATAAGATTTCCCGCTATAACATTTTCTCATCCTACTTATTTCCTTTTTAATCAGTGCCTGCATGCCGTGCATAATTACACGAACATCAAGGGCCTCCATTCGAGGAAAATTACATCATTGCCAAACTTAAGAGCGTCATTTCAGTCATCGCCGAGAATATAACGCATGCTAATCACGAGTCTCATTTGCATACAGTGAAACTCGCCACGATTCTTATCCCCAGTTTCCACGGTCTTCGCTAGGAACACGTGGCTTACAAACTAGGTCCCACCGACAAAAAAAACCGACTGCATTTTAAGAGGCTCGCTTTGCTCAAGCAAGCTCGACTAATTAGTCTCATCTGCTATATTAGGCGGACTCAACTCTGTTAGCTTCTATTTTTTTCATACTTACTTCGTACAGCCAGACCAAGGATTTAGCTCTAGTTGTCCTTTCATCAATCGACCTAGGTGAGAAACAGAAGGGTAAGTAATTCCTTCCCTCAACCATACCTTCGAAGGAAAGATATTACAGAAAGATCTTCGTCATCTTGGGGTTGTTGCCTTGTGTTAGCACACTAGCCTGCGTAGCAAGCGTTTCCGTGCGGTTTAGGAGCAAAGAACGAGGACCAAGAACCAAAGACCGAGCGAAAAATGGCGCAAGTAAGAGAGCGTGGAGGGGGTGGGGAAGAAAGGTTTCCTTCCTTCCCCTTCCCCTTCCCCCTCTTTCATTTTTTGGCTCTCGTTTCATTTCTCGCGCGGTACAAACCGAAAATCTCCTTCCTCGCTCTTCTTTTGCTCCTAATCTAAACGGAAACGCCTTTTACACAGGCTATTAGCACACAAATCTCTCGTGAAGCATTTAATTAGAACAACTTGTACAAGATCAATATTCAATTCAATTCAATTCAATTCTTTATTCACACGGTATAGGATATTTACATAAGTGTACGTAGTAGGAAAATAAAGTAGCTGACAAATAATAATTAACTAAAAGACATTAAGTTCATTTGTGTACGGTGTCCAAAGTAGCAAGAGCTTTCTTGTTGGACACCGTCATGTTGAAATAATTGGCAGCAATAAAGAGAGGAATAAAATCTCAAATAATATCAGTGATAGAACATATAAGCAAGGTCAGATTTGGTTGGTTAACCTTATGATATGGCAGACACTTAAGACCAGGCGGTACAGTCTCCCAGATTTTTGGAGCGGAGAATTTAAAGGACGTCTTACCTAAGTTGGTGGATACTCTTGGCCTAAAATAGTTCAGATTACTGACAAATCTTGTATTATGATTGTGTAGAGCCGTAATAAACCCATGCAATAAACGAGCCGTACTCCAGAGAGACCTAGACCCGGTTAGAGCGTTGAATAAAAAAAATTACGACTCAGAACAGCAATTCCCCAATATAAGGCGTTTATAAAACGCAGAGAACCTGAGCTTGGTTCTTATTTAAGTTATGAAGAATTTGAAAAGGATGTAAAAAATACTAAGAGCAAATTAATTTTTCTGTATTAGTGCACTGGCTTTCTTTTTATGGTTGTTCGAATTGAATATACAGTTGAACCTCCTCACAAAGGCCACCTTGGGGACAGAAGAAAGTGACCGTTGTAGACAGGTTTAAAGTAGCCTGTTCCAGGCTCCGAGATAGTGGTGAAAAGTCATTCAGTAAAAAGAAATGCGAAAAACGCGCGGGGGCTGGGGAGAGACCGCCACCGCCCCCTTTCCCAAGTCGCGCGCGTCTTATTTTCGCTTTGCTCGTTTTAATCTCTTAGAGCCTGGCACAGGCTAGGTTTAAACAAGAGTCAATGTATGGAATGTCTTTCGAAAAAACTGGTCGTTGTAGAGTAAGAGAGGTGGCCGTGTGAAGAAGTGGCCGTTAGTGGACGTTCGAAAGTATAAAATATATTACATATCAAGGAAGCAACTAATATTAGATGATAAAAATGAAAAATGTAGGAAACATTTATTACAGAAACTAAAAAATTGCACTGTTTTGAATTACCGTAGCTTGTTAGGTTTTTCAACGCTCATTGGCATAGAGACTCTCGGATGTGTTACACGACTCCTATTTATATCACCAACAGAAAAGACCAGCTGGCGGAGTGGAATTGTCGGGAAGAGATTATAAAGAGGAAACTTTCTCCAATTAAAACTTAAACAGTTTTTTTCGTCCAGAAAGATATTCTTCTCTTGTATACAATGAGTTTCAGCTGTGTCCATAAACCCATGTTATTTTAAAATTCTCGTGTTCACGTTAAATGATCGGTTTGTTTTAAACGTAGGGTGAAAAAAAAAATATTTCTTCACTGCCAGGAGGAGGAGCTGTTGGTTGCATTTCGATCACCTGCTTATGAATGGCCACGTATCTACCTTGCGGTTGGGACACTAAACCTGACATTCTATATCGTGAGAAGTTTACCAGTCACTAGATCCTAGCTAACTTTTTACACACTCAAAGCAATGCTTACCACTAGAGAAAAACGAAGCCACTTTGCAAGGCGTAACTAATCGATCGAAGTCGATCACCGAAAACGTTATATAACAACTTTAACGATGTTTTCGATGAGCAAACTGAGTCTGTCGAGTTGGAGTTCTGTGATTGGTTTATATATCGCTAAACGCCATGGATAAATAATTAATAGCACAAAAAGAAGCTCGTGGAAAACACAAAGAAGTGAAAAAATTACTTCAACATGGCCGCATGTAGTGGTAACACAGATGTGTTCGATTGTCAAGTGAAAGCTTGCAAAGAATTTTCTCAACATCTTTATGAAGTTCAAGGCTTAAGACCATTACAAAACCACGATATACCAAAAAAAGCCAAAACATTCAAACCAATGTATGATATAACAGGCTTTGATGCGTTTAAAGTCGTCGCATTGCTGTGTCGCATTGTGAATGACACAAAGCAGTTTACAACAGGTAAGACCTACTTGTTGATACGCAACGGACAAGAGTGTGAAGCTAACGACGAAACTGAAGAGCCGTCAAGCAGCCAGAAGAGCAAACAAGCCGGCGAAATTAAGGAGCTGTTCCAACTGGAAGCACTTCCTAGCGTCGATCAACCCGGCAATGGGAAAGTATATCGACTTCCCAAGGGAAGTGCAAGCTTTGCAGGTGGAAAAAGTTACAATCAACTGTACCCTATCTTAACGGAGTTCTACAAAGAGGATACAGAATCCTTTGCTTTGCACATCAGGAGTCTGTTTCAGTCCAACACGGTTGTAACACATGGTTCTCCTGCGACCATTGAAGTCTACATGCTGTTGCTGTTTGAAATAGCCCGACGCTTGGTAAATGAAAAAACCCCGAGCGAAAGGAAAAAGAAGTTGGATAATCTTCCGATTGGAAGTGCCATTACCAACTTGGTGGAATTGCTGGAGCGAAAGAAGTGCACCTTTAAGGACGTGTTTCAAGGCAAATACTACTGTTTCACAGGAGAGCCTGATGAAAGGAGACAAGTGATTGATAGCATCAACAAGACCATCTTTGAAAATCCCGCCAATATAGAGTATAAGCAGATATATGAAGAGCTTGAAAAGATGTTTTGCTCAGAAGAAACCCGAGAAGAAATGCTATCAAAAGCATTCAAGAATGCAAATTTGACCGATAACCAAAGGAGTCTTGGTCAATAAAGTCTTCGTTCAACACAGAATCTTACAGCAATTCTTACAGCTTAATCTCCTTCTTCATGCCTGCTGTATGAACTAAAAATTCTCAGGGTTGTATAATTTCCGTTGTTAGTTTTTGGTTAGTACTAGTCTAACTGATGTCGCATATTATGTTTTTATTGTTTAGTATAATATTCGAGCTCAAGGGAAGACCACTTTTTGGGTCACAGCACACAATTAAACATACTAGTTGTAGAAACTTTCAAATATTAAGGAAATGACTATTACAAAGCTTTTTCGGTTTCAAGAAGCTAGGAAAATTCCTTCGTAAGTTGGTTTACCTATCAATACTCACTTAGTTCTTCAGATGATTGATTCAATACAAACGCTGAAAATGAAAGACAATAATAAATATTAATGTACATGCGGCAGGTGCCTGAAAGGCGCCGTTAAAGGACAGCAAATTTCACTTTGATATTGAAGCAAGCATGCTTTAAAAGAAGATTGTTAGATCTTTCTGTATTAAACTAACAAAGAACATACATTCCAGTAACTATTCCCCTAACGATTATTTTAACTATGCGCAAAATTATTCTAGGCAAATCTTAAAACACATCAAATGGCGTTGACCGTGTTTTTGAGAGATTATGGTAATGTATGGTAATGAGATTGAAACAAAGGAAAATAGAATTTATACCAAGGATAAAATTGAACCACAACATATACGCTGTTTTAATCTGACAACTTTAGAGTACCTTCCTATGCATAAATTCATTTCCAATACTTTACGGTACGGATTCAACATGATTAAAGCATTTCAGAATCGCTTGACTTTTCTCAATCGACATAAGATAATTTAGATTTGCTGGGATTTTTCGATTTTGTGAAATTTACGGAGAATATAGGACTGCCGGTCATTTAGTGTTTTGAAAACCTTGACCAGTGACCAGCCATATAGCCACAGCGTAATTTTTAAACCTTGTGTTTTTTTCTGTAGCCGTTTCTATATAGTGATATCAGGTGTGCATGAGAAACTTTGCCATTTTTTCCTTTATGATGCTGCCGTCTTCTGGTGAGACAAACAGAACGATTAAACAGTTCAGTCCAATTTTTGTAACTCAAATGAATTTTGTTAAGTAGATACACTCTTTTTCAAAGAATGTATACCTTCGATGTCCTAGATGCCCACCCGGATATTCTTATTTTTCTGCTGACTTTAGGCTGACAAAACTCTTGTTTACATTCTTGTATTACAGAGTTTTGTGTAAAGCGGATATCAGGATATTGAACTATCAAATGGTGCTTGATGGTAACTGTACCGTGAAACAAAACGCATGTGCTTTATCACTCATTTATCCTTATTATTGCTTAAACTTGATCATATGTCTACTTCTAAGGGCCTGTTCATATGGAGGTGGGGGGCCCCAGGTAGGCGAGGTAACCCGCTTAGGTGGGGTAACCCGCCTGTCCATATAATCTCTCACTTTAATTTGAACTCGTTTACATGATAGGTGGGGTGACACACCACATAATACCTGGGGTCCCCTACCTCCATGTAAACAGGCCCTAAGTTTCTATCCGTCAGGCAGCCGAATTTTGTGAAATAAGAGAGAATTTACAGTACAGTTGTACTTTTCACAAGCCAAAATTTTTTTCTTTAAGACATGTGTGAATTTATTGTAATTTACTTTTTCAACAGCACGCAATACGTCCAATTTTCCATGTGATACTGTACTTACAATGTGATACATCTACGAATGGTCGAAAAAAGTAAATGATCTAGAGTTCGTAATGGAAACTGATCGTTATCCGGGGGGGTACTCAACAAATGTTTATACGGGGAGGCTCCGCCCCAAGGTCCAACCCCCTACCCTTTTTATATACCATTTTGCACGAAAAAGGTACCCCTTTCGCATTTCTTCTATTGACAAATGGTGCGCCTTTCATCACAAACCTTGTTTAGAACTTTGCATCCCTTTTGACTGCTGTAAATTGCACTGTCTTTTAAATAGGGATTAGTTATGAAAGTAGAACGCTTTCTCGGCTTTATAAACCAATAAAATTCATCTGTTACCCCTTTTAGGCCCTTCAACAGACCGCAAATGACAAATTTCCCTACCCTTTTATATACTTCAACTAGTGAAATCCCTATCCTTTCATCTATCTGAAGCCTGAAAAAGATACCCATTTCGGGCGGAGCCTCCCCGTATAGGCCATCAGAGGGAGTGTACCCCCCAGGTTCGTTTCACAGTTACAAAATCGCATCTCAGACGCTTTACGAGATGCTCGGGAGGGTAACACAAGTTATTTCGATCAAAGTCTCGACAAGTCTCGACAAGATGCGTCCGCCTGGCTCAAGTCTCAGCTTAAGGTAAGCGATGTGATCAATGTCACTACTCCGAACACCATGTAACGTTCTATAGTTACAGAACGAAGGGAACTGCTTACATCCGGGAAATATGATACGCAACACGATACGTCACAATTGCAAGAATTCCTATGAAGTGTTGAAACGACGGACCAGGGTCTACTTGCTACCCCATCAAGAAGGTAAAAGACCTTGCTGGTCGCGCTTACGTTCCTCATTTGTACAACTTTAAGTTATTTATATAAGAGAATTCATATTGGCTCATTAAAATACGAGTCTACCCATAGAAGGCATTGCACGATATACCTATTTCAATAAAGGTTGCTTGAGCAATTGGGCATTGGGCCAGTTTGCCATACGGGACTCCCTGCAATGATTTGCTTGAAGGACCACTAAACAATAGCTTCAGTAGCACACTGGGGATGTTTTAGGCCTCTTTTTTGCGGGGGAATTTCATTAACTTGCGGAGAAAATCCATTAACTCCGATGACGTCATACATCGCATTAAGATGGGATGATGTCATAGTTTATTTTCAGTAGGCAAGGAGCAAGTGACGTCAGAATACCCTAGGGTTGACGTCATCAAAAAATGTTGAGATCATAATCTATAAATAGAAAAGTACTTGTGCGTCTACTGTTCGCAGGCTAGACCGTTACAAAACCGTTTCCTCCTACCTATCTCGAGGAAATGAAAAACTATTAAAGTCTCAGCGTTTCACGCACCGATAGTCAGTTAATTATGCGAGTTCGCAAGCCCACCGTTCCATACAAATTAGTTCAGCTCTGCTGGAAACAACTCGAAGTTTTCAATTTCCCTGGAAGGTTCGACTGATAGGGAGTCGACTGTATTTCTTTGCCTTTCAAATTAGGTGTCCGATTCAAACTTTAAAAGGGGAAACACACAATAACACAATATCAATACCATGCACCAACACCCCGTAAGACTGGATCATTCAGTAAAAAAGTTGTAACGTGAAATTCTAGCTATTTTGTCGTTTCTTTTAATCCTAGATGCACTTGAGATTATTCTAGTTGGCATGTTTAATTTTCATTATTCAGTATTCATTCAAAACAAACAATTCGCCGTTTCTGATTAGCTTCAATTTACAACCAGCTGACGCCTACCATAATTGGATGGTGCGAGCAATATGCCATCGATTCGATGGTATATTGCCTATTAGAAAGATAGGACTAGAGGTCTATTATCAATGCTGCATTCTGATTGCTTAAGCTTCTACTAGGCTATATGTTATACCCCACTAGTAGCGCCGGCTTTTTGGCGGCAAAAAAAGATTAAAGTCTAGCTTTAACTAGCTAAAGTTGTTTTGTCTCGATATTTTTGACCAACATGTTGGATTTTACTAAAACAATTATTTCTCACGCCCTCATGGCCTCTGAGTCAATAGCCCCTGAGGCCGAAGGCCGAATGGGCTATTGACTCAGAGCCCATTCGGGCTCGAGGAATAATTGTTAAATAACCCAGCGCTGCAGCCCAAATGTTATTCCCCAGTGAACCAAAAAACTGTTGTTCATGACTATCTGAAGACAAAATAGCTAAATTTTTAATAAAACTGAACGGTAAGGAATGCGAGAATACGCAAAACATGTTGCTCTATGGAATTATCTTCTTTTTGTTTAAGGAGCATCTGCGAGAAAAACATCTCAGTGGTTATATCATGAAATCGTATGGAGAAATAAGCCAATGTTTTGAAGAAAGTCTACGAGGAGGTAATCTTGTTTTAACTTCATAATAAAACAATTATAAATTTAGTAACCGCGTGCGCGCTGGCCATCAGAACTAGACAGGTGGTCACCTTTAGCAGTAATAGAGAAATTAAGATTCACGTTTACGACAAACGGCAAACGTCAGTTTCAAGTTCAGAATTTCTCAGAATACAAAATAAGTAGATAAAAACTGCCCAGAACAATTCTTATGTATAAATAAAAACTGGCGTGAAGCTACTTATTTTTTAGTTGAAGTAATAAACACGTGGTACAAATTCACGTTTGCCGTTTGGCGTAAACGTGAATCTTAATCTCTCTAATGTCGATAAGTCCCTGGGACGAGTATTTTTGGTAAACCAAAATATTGACACCACTATCCAGTTTTTTTGTCTGGTTCAGCTATATATGAAATGTAAATAGAAGACAAGAACGCTCTTGGTAGCGTTGAGTCTCGCTTGCTTGGAGATGAGTTTTGTTGTCAAAGGCCCCGGTGCTGTTATACTACTTTTTCGTTTGGAATACAAAGCGAGTTTTGTATATCATCATGTATATACTCAAAAAGTAAAAATTGCAAGGAGAGACACGCCGCACATCTTAACCTCAAACCGGTGTGAAACCTTTGAAAACCTTCTACATATTGATATTGCTCCATTGAGGGGTACTCTTTCAGGGATTTTACACTCGAAAAATTGAACGATGATTTTTATCAGTATCAGGGGCCCATGACTCTGTCAGTATAAATATAAATAGCTTTTTTGTACCGGACCAAGATACGGCTCGGTACAGTATATGTTCAGCACAGGAAAAAAGGGTAAGTTTAACAGAACCTTATAGAGTGTTTTCATATGACGTCACGGCGGCCATATTGGTGTCCCAAAACAATGAAACGGCGGCCATGTTGGTGTCCCAAACCAATCCTGTGGGAGTTGAACTTTTTTCTTATGCAAACGCTTTCTTTTGTTCCAATAAATTTGCATAGATGCTGGCCACGTGAGTGAAAACACTCTATACAACACACAGTGAATTCAATTCGCGCGTATTCCTGCTGAATTTGTTGTCCGTTTTATAAGATATCAATATCGCATGAAAGTAATGACATTTTCCATAGCTGCTTAGTATCTACTTTTAATATCTCCGTACAGTCTCAGAGTACAATGTTTAGAGTTGTACACAGCATGCATTTTAGATAGATAGATAGATAGATAGATAGATAGATAGATAGGCAGATAGATAGATAGATAGATAGATAGATAGATAGATAGATAGATAGATAGATAGATAGATAGATAGATAGATAGACAGATAGATAGATAGATAGATAGATAGATAGATAGATAGATAGATAGATAGATAGATAGATAGATAGATAGATAGATAGATAGATAGATAGATAGATAGATAGATAGATAGATAGATAGATAGATAGATAGATAGATAGATAGATAGATAGATAGATAGATAGATAGATAGATAGATAGATAGATAGATAGATAGATAGATAGATAGATAGATAGATAGATAGATAGATAGATAGATAGATAGATAGATAGATAGGTAGGTAGGTGGGTAGGTAAGAACCTTAGTTTACGGAACGATAGAAAGATCAGCATTGCTGGTGGGGTCGTGCATACAACAATTACAAGAAAAATAAGGAGTACTGAAAGCAAATGTACACTTAAAAATTAAAAACTGTTAAAGTTTTTTCTTGTATTACAGTATCACCGGGATAAAGCGTTTCATTTTCCAGGAAAATTTCACTTTCTCGTCAAAACAATCACTGACTCATACAGACTCGGATTAGTTTACTTGAATTTAGTGTTCAGTACAGCGAACGGGGTTATGTTCTGTGAAATTTATGTACAGTCTGCAGCCCACATCACCACTGATCCACGATGTATGTATCCTGATTTTCCAGTAAACCTTGAAGTTTTGCTCATTAAGATTCTTCTTTTTTTTTTTCGACCACTGAAGTGATCAGTTGTTCGAAAATAATCAACACTTTCAAGCGATAGAATTCTTGGACCAACCCGTTCCGGAAAAGCTCGATATGGGATTTCTATTCTATGGACATGAAGTGCTGCAAGTAGAGTGCGCGGATAGTCAAGTTCAAAGCTACCTGTATAAACACATCAGTGACACATACGTAACGATAGGGTGGATTTCCACTGACGCGTTTTTGGCTCTGCACGTTAACGCAAGTAAATTTTAATCACGTAAATAAAATAGAGGTAAGATATAAAGTGTTAAGACTAAACGTCAAGTCGAGTGAGTTTCTACTTTTACGCTTACATATCTGTACGTGCGGCCTTTCATACATTGTTTCTATTTTATTTGCGAACGCCAATTTTACACACGAACGCACGTAAAAATTACTTGAGAGTCTGATATATCAAGTATTTGTAAAGTGCAACACGACTTAACATCTTAACAACTGCGAAAATCTATCAATTAAATAAATAAAACAAAGTGAATCTATTTAACCGTCGAAGACAATATTCTGAGAAACGTAACCCCTTAAAACACCACAAAATAAGATTTCCCGCTATAACATTTTCTCATCCTACTTATTTCCTTTTTAATCAGTGCCTGCATGCCGTGCATAATTACACGAAAATCAAGGGCCTCCATTCGAGGGAAATTACATCATTGCCAAACTTAAGAGCGTCATTTCAGTCATCGCCGAGAATATAACGCATGCTAATCACGAGTCTCATTTGCATACAGTGAAACTCGCCACGATTCCTATCCCCAGTTTCCACGGTCTTCGCTAGGAACACGTGGCCTACAAACTAGGTCCCTCCGACAAAAAAAACCGACTGCATTTTAAGAGTCTCGCTTTACTCAAGCAAGCTCGACTAATTAGTCTCATCTGCTATATGAGGCGGACTCAGCTCTGTTAGCTTCTATTTTTTTTCATACTTACTTCGTACAGCCAGACCATGGATATAGCTCCAGTTGTCCTTTCATCAATCGACCTAGGTGAGAAACATAGAAGGGTAAGTAATTCCTTCCCTCAACCATACTTTCAAAGGAAAGATATTCCAGAAAGATGTTCGTCATCTTCGGGCTGTTGCCTTGTGTTAGCACACTAGCCTGCGTAGCAAGCGTTTCTGTGCGGTTTAGGAGCAAAGAACGGGGAACAAGAACCAAAGACCGCGCAAAAAATGGCGCAAGTAAGAGAGCAGGGAGGGGTGGGGAAGAAAGGTTTCCTTCCTTCCCCTCCCCCTCCCCCCTCTTTCATTTTTTGGCTCTCGTTTCATTTCTCGCGCTGTCAAAACCGAGAATCCCCTTCCTTGCTCTTTTTTTGCTCCGAAACTAAACGGAAACGCTTGCTACGCAGGCTATTAGCACACAAATCTCTCGTGAAGCATGAAATTAGAACAACTTGTACAAGATCAATAAACGAGCCGTTATCCAGAGAGACCGGCCTAGACCTCCCGGTTAGAGCGTTGAATAAAAAAAAATTACGACTCAGAACAGCAATTCCCCAATATAAGGCGTTTTTAAAACGCAGAGAACCTGAGCTTGGTTCTTGTTTAAGTTGTGAAGAGATTAAAAAGGATGTAAAAAATACTAAGACCAAATTAATTTTTCTCTATTCGTACACTGGCCTTCTTGTTTTGGTTATTCGAGTTATATATACAGTTGAACCTCCACACAAAGGCCACCTTGGGGACAGAAGAAAGTGACCGTTGAAGAGAGGTTTAAACAAGAGTCAATAGGCTGATTTAGCTACAGAACGGGAACGTTAGTTGACGACGGCGCGCGCAAATCAAACAACTGGCATGACCAATGGCAGAGCGGCAAATTGGGCACCGGAGGTCGATTTTAGTCCTTTTCGCGCGCTTTCCCGTCGTCAAATGACGTTCCCGTACTGCTGCTAAAGCAGCCTGATGTATGGAATGTCTTCCGGAAAAACTGGTCGTTGTAGAGTAAGACAGGTGGCCGTTGTGAAGAAGTGGCCGTTAGTGGACGTTCGAATGTATAAAAATATATTACATATCAAGGAAACAACTAATATTAGATGATAAAAGTGAAAAATGTAGAAAAACATTTATTACAGAAACCAAAAAATTGCACTGTTTTGAATTAGCTTGTTAGGTTTTTCAACGTTCATTGGTATAGAGACTCTCGGATGTGTTACACGACTCCTATTTATATCACCAACAGAAAAGACCAGCTGGCGGAATGGAATTGTCGGGAAGAGATTATAACTCTTTAAGTTTAGGTGTTTTTTTCCTTTTTTTACGCAGGCTTTGACGTAGCGGGTTTTCGGAAATAAATACTAGGAAAATTTCCCCAATTAATACTTCAACAGTTTTTCTTCGTCCAGCAAGACATTCCTCTCTTTTATACAATGAGTTTCAGCTGTGTTCACAAACCCATGTTGTTTTAAAATTCTCGTGTTCACGTTAAATGATCGGTTTGTTTTAAACTTAGGGTGAAAAAAATATTTCTTCACTGTCAGGCCTGGGATGCTAGATATTCTCCTCTTTCTTTTGTATTTTCCCCGTTTTTTTTCTCGTTAGTTACAACTGCCATCGTTAGCTACATGCTTTCTTCTTGCAAGGGGAGGGAGATTAGTTTCAACGCCCACGTCATATTTATAATAGGTTCAATGAGCCCACTTTTTGACAATGCAGACTTTGTCTGGGGAAACACGATTCTTACACTACAACTCCAGGTTTTTCCGAATGGCGGCGGAAGTGGGTGCGGGGAGGCAAGAGTAGCCCTGATCCCCCCAGTGGCGGTCCAGGGGAGGGGCCCGGGGGCCCTCCCCCCTTATTTTTAGACCAAACCGAGGCCCGAAGGGTCGAAAAAAAAATTGAGATCCAGCCTCCCCCTAATCTCAGGGTCTGGATGACCCCCCCCCCCTATCCGAAGGGCTGGATCCGCCGCTGGCCCCGATGAGATTATCTACTTCTCCCTGAGCTTAAGGTATCTCTTAAACAAAACGGCGCATTTTACCGAGTAACGATGGATTCAAAATTTCTTCATGGTCAAATTAATTTTAGTTTTAGTATTAAATGTATTCAAGACGCACATGATTGTAACAATAGAAGAAAGGTGGACGATAGATTTCCGCGCATAATGGTAACTGGGCTTTCAGGATTTTCTTTTTGGACTCGCAACTTTGTTTTTTACTGACGACAAAATTTATAGAAAGAAGTCTCGATTGTAGAAATAGTCGCGAGTACAAGGAAGGTATAGACCGCACAAAAGACGATGCTTTAAATAAAATTAAATAAGGACGACGTCCCTTCAAGGCCACCCAACTAACACTATTAGAAATATTACATCTTGTAAATATCTTCATTGCTAAGTTAGTTTTAGTTTTAATATAAACATCTGGTAGAGAAGAACATGACTAAATAACTCTTGGAGACACATGGACATAATATTGCTGTAAAATAAACGAAAGTGGGGCCGAAATAGATTCCGTTACTCTATTTTTAGCAAGAGGAACACTTTGAATCCCCCTCTTCGGCCGGATATTACGTCTTCATACTTTTTTTAGAGGACGGTTTAAAAATATCATGCAGTCTACGAATAATTTTATTATCATTTTTTCTTTTTTTGACATCCCCAGGTGATGTATATTTATCTACACTATCCCCCATTTCTTTCTGATATTTTATTTATTTATAATCCTCAAGACCTCTCTGATACCACTATTGCTGATTGACAAGTGGCGTCATCAAAATTCAAACTAAAAAATTATCAGTTCTTCGGAGTTCTTACTTTTGTGAGGGATTAAACAAGCGAAAAATATATACTTTTACATTTTTTTTGGTCGAAAGCTGTCATACAAGTTACAAAAATGACTTATCTTTTAAAATTCTGCCATTAATTTCACGATGCCTGGCGCTTCTGGTCGCCATATTAGTTTCCTCAGAAAGCCACCAACATGGCGTCTCCAAACGAAGCATCAGAGATTTGGGCTCAACATTCATCCGAGTATGTAACATAGCAAAAATCGCAAAGGCCTGAATCGTGGCTAGGCATTTAGCTTATCAGTTTATCCTGAATAAATGCTATTATTTACCATTATTGCTACTAACTCTAATAAGGGGAGGAACCGCGATTCGAAAACAACTCCAAATTTCATTTTGTCACCGAACTCATTTTGACATAGATGCATCATCTAGTTGACCTTTACTGAACCAAGGTGATGCACACGCACATTATGGCGTAATTCAAAATGGCGCCGAAAATGTAGACGTACGATGAAAATAGTTGCTTTCACCTGTAAGTACAGAAGAATTAAATACCACAGGAATCCCAAGATTAGGTATTGCGTTCTCCTAACGTCTAACACAATTACAAGCAACGAGCATTTCGTGTTAAATTGAAATCTAGCTGAAAGTTTGATTAAGGCTGTTGTTATTGAACTAATTGCTGGTTGTTGTTATTATTATTATTATTATTGTTATTATTATTATTATAACTATTATTATTAATAATAATAATTTAAATATTATTATTATTATCTTCATTATTATTATTGTTATTCTTTTTACTACTCTTTAATCTTACGCACACGCCTCCTTAGATGAAAATAGTGATCAATTTAGGTTTCTGGGAAACTGCCCACCTACCCCTCCCCTACGCTAACATTAACACTTACTTCTCACTTAGGGAAAAATGTTGGCTTAGGGGAGGGGTAGGTGGGCAGTTTCCCAGAAGCCTCAAATGATCGGAAAATAGTAACAGAAGGGCGGATTTACTACCAAAACATGGCTTGGTTACTCAGCTAGTGACAGTGAGGATGATACCGAGGGAGGGGGGGGGGCGAAAGATGTCAGGGAAAGAAAATACAAACTTGAAGCAGCCAGCGAGTGAAAATTTTGCGATATTAATGCTGAAACATTTTGTTTCATAAGATATTACATGGATTGGGAAAACGTGACTTGCACAATGCATAGTCATTCAAAGTAGCCTTTTTCATTATTCAAAGTCATTCAAAGTAGCTTTTTTTTATTGTCTCTGAACATTTCACACAAACACAATTGACAGAAATTGCTCGATGACGTAGACGTTTAATAAAGCTGCTTGCCGACCTGTTAACTCACTGACATTTGATTAAAATTTTGACCGCTTGTCGGAACTCTCTCCTATAAAAGGAGTAAATAAAGGGATTCGTCGACGATTGAAACAAGAGAAAAGTAACTGACAATTTCCGAAGAAGTAGTGTTACTAGATCAGGACGATCGAACAAGTAAAACAGATAGTAGAATGCTCGTGGGAGCCAACAAACTACAAAAGTTAAAACCACTAGTGCACAAGAAAGGGTCCCTTTTCGTATCTGAAGATAGTGTAAGCGATATTTCCGTCTCCACCAATATCTGTATTTTTTTCCGTATGAAGTTGCTACTTTTAGCCTCTGTCGTCTAATGGCGGTAAAAATTGCGGCATTGATGGCGATGACGATAAGAATTGGGACAAAAACAAAAATAAAAAGTAGACAGTATGAATAAATTCTGTTCCATTCCTCCACTACATCGCTGGGTTGTGAGTGTGACCATATGTTTCGGATTGAGGCAAGACAAACTGGTGTAATCCAGACCGCCAGCAAAATCAGGCGAAATTTCCTCAGCGACATTTTCGTTTGATATTTAAGCGGCTGGAAAATAGCCATGTATCGATCATAAGAGATGGCGAGTAGATTGAAAGTTGAGTTCAAGAAGCAGATGTCTTTACCACTTTCAAAGAGCCAGCAAAGTTTGCTCAAAGAGTATACACAACCAGTACAGAATGCAGCATACCCAGGGGTTACTAAGACTGCCATTAGAGCATCGCAAATAGCCAGACTTAACAGAAATAGATTCATGTAGCTCCGTCTGAGGTTTTCAAAGCGAAGAAATGCAGCACAAGTCAGGGAATTTCCGATAACTATGATGGTTCCAATGGCTCCGTTTATGAACCAGAAAAGAAAATCCAGTTCTCTGCTACAGTTTTTATCGATGATATGACCTCCAAGGCTCTGAAGCGTGGGCAGACTTAGAAAACCAAGTGGCATCAAAGAGGAATTATTGGCAAAACCTTCAGACATCGCTGAGATTGCAAGTACCGAGGGCTGATTCGATCGTACTTCACTAAGAAATGGCGAACAGCTACTGAGATCTATCAGCCGGTGGAAGTTAATTAAAAGTTTGCACGTTTAAGATCAATTAGCCAGAGTTTTCATTCAAGGAAAACCGGGCTGCCAAATTAAAACATTAAGGGACGCTGGCATAATTTATAGAAGCTGCTTTCAGTTGCTTATAGAGACTGCAAAGCAAATAACAGACACATTAAGAATGAAAGATAAATTTGGTGGTAAAATAATATGGTTTTGTTGAAAAAACTTCCGTTGTTTTGTTACCAGCTGTAAGCAAGAACCCGCGCTCCATTTTAAACATGTTGTTTGACTACAAACCAAAACAAAGTGAAAAGAACAAAAAACAATACCACGTAAATAGCTCTCTACAACGAAACCATCCAGTCAACAACTACTGGGCGGTAGTGTTTATTCGGCATTTGGCAGCTACAGCTGACCAGAAGGTCATAACATCAAGCGCCTTTTAACCGCTTCACCGTCCAATCCAGGACACTCTTATATTACCTTAGCAAGATCAGGCGTTCTAGAGTTCACGTGAGGTTGTAGAATACTACTTACTCCCATAAGCGACCGCTTCCCATAAGCGACCGCCTATCCAAAAACACCAAAATTTTCCCAGTCAAAGCCTTACAGTTAGAACCTCTAGTAACGGTTAATGATTTTCCGTTGTTTTTAACCTCTTGTAAGGAACCACTTGATGCCTTCTCTGATCTCTCTATTCGCTGTGCGCACTATGCTACTTAGAATATATGGAGAACTTTAGTCTCAACATGGAACTACACATGTCGTAACTTAGACATTGCAAGCAATAAATATCTTCCATAAAGTAGATGTGCCTAGACCTCTTCTCGGAAAATGCCCCCTGTGGTTCGATTCTTGTAAACGACCACCTTCCGTAAGCGACCACTCAGTCTTTGCATTTTGGGTGATCGCTTACGGAAGGTTCGACTGTACTTCATTGATTTTCACAACCTTTTCTCTTGATAGAGAGGAGAAGTCGTTACGTCACGTTGTCATGGTAGCAAAATTTTTGGATGAAAACAAACCGAAAATTCACTTAAAAAGTAAATTCGCACTGTTTTAAACTTCATCGATCTTATTCAATTTCATTTAATTTGTCGAATGTTGGCGAAATTTTCTGGATTGAATTCGAAAGGACCGTATCTGAGTTAAGAAAAAGAAAAAACAAACTTTTTGTGTCTAGTTCACCTACTCCATAAAGCGGGCGCGTGGAAATAGGAAGTTTCATGTCGTAGTCGTGCAAGGATGGCTAAAATATGTGTACAAAAGCGTGGTGCACGTGCAAAGTTGTTGTTTTACTAATATAAACTCATTGCTTTTTTTGCCGTTCTCCGTCTTTGTTGCCCAAGCTCCCTTTTGTTGTGATCCAAAAGTTTTGCTACCATGGTAACATGACGTCACACTTCTCTCTATTGAGGTCACTTTTGGGAATTAAAGGGTTAAAAACACGTTCACTACAATTCTGTGATGGAAAGGAAAAAGCGATCACGAATACCAAGGATAATGAACAGCTACAACCTCAGGAGAGCTTTGTATGGAGACACCATATTGGTGCACCGTTTTGGTGCACCAATATGGCCGCCGGAAATCAACAAAAACATCTGGAATTCACTTTTTCTATAGAAGCCCTTTTTTTCATTCGAGAACTAGAATACGTGCGCATAAACATATCTTCTAATACTTGAAATGGTTATAATGCTGAAATGAAGAAAAGAGACTTTTTTTCAACGAGAAAGCATTCCTATTTTGGTGTCACGCACTGTGAAAACTCGGAAGTTCAAATTGCTCCATTTTCGAAATGAAACATGCTCCGGGAATGGAAACTTGTACAAAGATTTATTTTTTGTTTATCTTCAACCTAGTACAAATAAGAATCCGTAAAACCTCGCTATTTTGACTTTACAATTTGATGACGTCACTGTGAAAACCCTCTATAACTGAGAAGGCCCACCTAACGTAAACTACACAGATTCCCCTAGGCCTTCTCGCTATTGTTTTCTTCATTTTTTCCTTTTGTAGTGTGTGGCAAAATAAAATGAAATAAAAATTCTGCCCAGAAGGTTTCGATTTCAATCAAGTTTCCGTTTTCATTTTAGACCCGCTGGCTTGAGGGGGAAGTCACTGGACCATCCTCGTGCGGAATAAAAGCTATGACAACGTATAGAGTGTTTTCACATAACGTCACGGCGGCCATGTTACTGTTCCGAACCAGTGTGGGAGACTATGTGGGAGTTAAAATCTTTTCTTATGCAAACGCTTCCTTTTGTTCCTATAAATTTGCATAGGCGCTGGCCACGTGTGTGAAAACACTCTCGTAAAAAGAACCTAAAGTTTGCAATTGTAATACTGCTTACAGCATACACAGCATGGCTTTTAGACTTGTCCGCAAGCCGAGCTAAAAAGGTTCTCGAGCAAGAAGGGCAAGCGGGAGATTTTTTTAAATGTTTTCTGCGATATTCTAGTGAACTTGTCAGATACATTGCAAGTTGTGGCAGTTCATCCCCTGAAGCAAGCTGATTCAAAGAGAAGCTCTAAATGTTTGAAACAAGTGTTCCTTTTACAAGGGTAGCTACAACCCAAAATTGATGTAAACTAATAAATCACAAAATTGTCTGAAATGCCAGCCGTCTTCACTCCCTAACCCCTGGGGGAGGTGGGTAGAGAGTCTCTCCCCCGCGCCCCCCAGGGGTTAGTGCGTGGAGACGGCTGACATTTCAGATTACCCTTCCGCAGGTAACGACATCCCTGACAGTAGCGAACAAAGAACAAATTTACAATCATAATTATCAATAACCTACAGGAGTATTAGTTTAAAAGGAGTTATCTATTGATCAAGATACGGAAACTGCGGCCATGTTTGTGTTTGTGTTTTCTGCGAGAAATTTTCAGTGAATAAATACAAAGAAAAATGCAGTACTTAGTTGTTTATTTTAGCCATCCCTATTGTTATCTATAAGGAACACTGGGGACTGGTGAGGCTGACACTGTGAGGGGGCAGGGAAGGGAACATTTTGTCGTTTTTCAAACCACCACAACGTTTCTTGCCGTCCGTTTATAGAATGATAAAAGAAGAAAGGAAATACTAACACGGACACCAATATCATGCTAAAAATTTATCAGTCATCGTGATTTAATGATAAAAATGCTTACAGGAATAATAATAATAATAATAATAATAATAGTGATAATAATCCACCTGCAAACTGATTGATATGACTGTTCCATCAGATAAAAACATCGCACTGAAGGAAATCGAAAAGAAAAGTAAGTGCAAAGACCTACAACTAGAAATACAGAGAATGTGGCAGATGAAAACCGAAGTGATCCCTGTGGTTGTTGGTGGTCTTGGTACAGTAAAGAAGGGGTTGGTAGAAAACATCGAGAAATTATGAAAGATATACTGTGACAAAGACCCAAAAGATCTTCATGCTGGGATCTGCACGAATCCTCAGGAAGGATACTTGGTATCCAGTCGGATACTAGGTATTTTAATATTTCGATTCATTGAAATGGACATCTGTCAATACTATCACTTGACTCTTTTTTTCAATTTTGGCCCAGTAATCATGAAATGGATCTGAACAATTACATTGTAATAAAGCAGAAAGTAGATTTAAAAATGCAGGCTTTATGATCAAATATTTTAGTGTTTCAAGGGAAGTCCTCAAAGGTTTTGCCTTGAGCCCCCTGCTTTTCGTACTAGCGGTGGTTGAAATTTTAACATCATGAGACGGGACAGGCCTTGCTATGTTATAAACCTCCCTGGAAACAAAGAATCTAAAATTTCTAATCTGCGGACGACACAACTTTAATTGTCAGCGATGTCAATTCTTTATCAATTTCAATTATTCAGTTTTCAAGGACTGATATTTATGTAATAAATGGGTATTCTTTAACCCCCCTTTGATCACCCTATCGGCTAAAACACGTCATGGAGTCATTTACCAATTTTACTTCTTCGGCCATCGTTGATCACATTATTCTATACTACTTTCCGCAACAACACTTTGCAAAATGACTGGGTATGACTTGCAATTGCATTTGCGGTACAGCAATAGCATTTGGAATTAAGAAACAGAAATAAAATATCGCTCATGTACACGTTACCCGTGAGTTTTACAGGTTCTTACACCGAGGGTGAGCCAAATTTTCCTCGGCAAAATAATAATCTTAATTTAAAGAAAAGTGTGGTTGGCGTAGACAAGGTTATGAATTTCCCGTGAATTTCAAGGACTTTTCAAGACCTAATAAAGAAATCAAGTACTTTTTAACGACCTTAACTGAATTCAAGGACCTTCCAAGACGACTAGTAAAATTCAAGACCTTTTCAAGATTGTACGAACCATGGCATATGCATTTCTGCCCAACATTTGTTATGGATGCTTTTGGTTGACTTTGTTCAACGTGACACAAATAGTGAGCCTGGGTTACCTGTGCTTTAAACGAGCGTTTATGTCAGAAAAAATTGACCGCTCGGCCAAAGCCAAGAGCTGACAACAGCGCTCACAAGTTCTCTGATTGCCTTGTCTTGACCAAGTTGACCGACCGGTTTGGCGAGGCAAAGTGTTTATATGGAGAAACGTTGGCCCAACTAGGAGTCATCCTTCTGGCCAGACTCTTACCCAGTCGCTATTTAAGTATTTTTTGGGGTGAGAGAAGATTGGGGATTAGGTTGAGGCGCGCGGTTTTTCCGTTAACCTTTCTTGAAATAGCTGTAAACGGCGTCTGATTCCAGGGTTCAATGCTAAGGTTGTCATTTTTAATGTTAGAGTTTTTCCCTTATGATTATAAATACTACCAACCATACACTCTTAATTTACTAAACTGATTAAAAGTTAACTAAATAGATTCTACGTGCTTACTGTGATTGCGAAATTGTCGGCGCCATTTGCTAACATAGTTTTGCTCGGACTCGAAGGTTTTCAACGCAAAAAGCTCATTAATCTGAGAAACGTGAAAAGATAATAACATTAACTTACTATTTACCTTACCCTTGTTTCCAATTTCATGCAAAGAAGGTCAATTAAACAACTCGAATGTTTTACGGTGGTGAGTCCCAAACCTCAATACGATAATAGAAAAAGAATTTCCAGTTTCCCTTAAAACGAAAAGTTAACAATAGTGGAGCTTTATATTCTATCACTAACTTAAGTCTTTATATTCATTTTTTATATTTTATACTTTTATATTCGCTCTTTATATTCTCAGCCCGGGAGAGTGTCATAAAATGTTCGCAGATTTTTCGTTTAATTTGATGGCGCATTAATCTTGGATAAAGACTCCATGTAAGCGTTGGTGAAATGAGTCTTCCCAAAGCGCTCCTTTAATAGATCAACTGCCTTTTTCTAATTTTCTTTAGTCATTGGCAGTCCAGAGATAGTGTGCGCTGCGCCTCCTGTAAGCATTCCGTTTAGATAATTCATTTTCTCCACATCACCCAGTTGAAGATTTTTATCGATAGCTACGCTAGCGCTAAAGCTGTCCCGGAATGTAAGCCATTTAAGGGGGTATCCTCCAAAGGATTTTATGTTTAGCTTGGGTAAATTTACATGCATTCTTGCGGTTGGTGTTTGTTTTGAATTACTATATTGGAATTGGCTAACCGGTATATCTTGTTTGGAGGCGCGCGATTTTGAATTGCCAATATGATATATTGTCTTGAAAAGATAAGGCTGATTCCGTGTCTGTCTGGATTTCCAGTGACATCGCAATTTTTGTATCCATCCGTGTTATTTCTATACCTCTTCGTGTAAGTCTGTCCACCAGTGCTTCCAATTCTGCTTGATCCGGGGTCTCTGAATTTATCAGTTTTTCGGCCCTTTTAAAAATCTTGTGAACAGTGTCCTCTGTACGCGGCCCGGATTGACTTCACTTTCCTAATTTCTTCAGTCATTGTACTAAATTCTAGTCTCGGCACCAATGTTACAACTATTGTAACGACCGATCATCTGATTCAACACACTACTCTTTATTGTTGTAGAACTTCAGAATACATCTTGCGCGTGTTATGATGTAGTTAATTACATAATTTATGACAATTCGCAAGGAATACCACTGAAAAGTTTTTGAGTTGTTGGAACTTTTAGGTACGAGGTTTTACTTAAAAGGACTTCTTGATCTTAAAATTGGCTTCATTCACACCTTCCAAGGAACCTAGCCTAGGTAATTAATTCTCTCAAAATTGTTATAACGCTTCCGCGATGCCGAATCCGAAACGTAAATAGACGGAAATAAAGGTGGTTTATTTTAACATCACAAAAAAATTCGCAAGTGTTGCTTGAAATGTAAATAATAAAGCTATTGCAGTGTAAACAGACGAAAAATTCCCAAAAGTTATTAGGAAACTGATTCCCAATATGAATATACGTCATAAAAATGTAGATGTCAATCTCTTTTGAGGTTGTCAGAAGGGCTAATTCAGAGGTTTTCTCTACACAGAAGTAAGATATTGTACATAAACTGAGATCGGAATCAATGAAGAAGTTCTCCTCGCCGTTTAACGAACAAAACACCACATCCGATTTCTTAGCATAAGTAAACCTTTTTACACCAAAGTGTTAGAAAAACTGAAATTAGTCTTTTTGTAAAAACTGTTCAGGCAATCCTTTTAATTAACCTTCTTGCCGCTTGACGGAAGTCGTTTCTAAAAAAGGAGTAGATGATCGGGTTGACAGAGGATTGGCAGAAAATGAAGAACAAAGACAGTTTCCTTAGCAGAGGACTAGCTAAATCGCTTCGACCGAAAAGGCTGCAAAAGTTGAAGAAAGCTCTTGGAAGCCAGGAAATAATAAATATTAAAACAATCAAAACGCAAGACATGGTTCCCTTTCTCCTCCGACTTATATTCCTGCGATTTCGCTCCCGTATACTTTCACTCACAGAATTCGCGTCGGTAACAGTAACGCGGTTTCCTTCCGAGAGCCCTCTCTCCGATGCGTTCGTTAAAGTTAAAGATTCCACCATATCTGCATGAATCCGACTTCTGTGGCTTCTTATGGCTCTCATAAGCTTTATATTGACGAAGAATAATATCGGGATTGGTGAAAATGTAAATAATACTGATAATACTGCGTTATACACTGTTTCATAGTGTTTCACCGCAGTCTCATCCATTGAATGTTGCCACACATTTCTTACGGACGAAACAACGAGTGGTATAAACCAGACGAAAAAGAGAATGGTAAAAACCTTACGTCTGGTCATCGTCGAGACGTAATGCAAGGGTCTTAGTACGGCCGAATGTCGGTCGTATGTAATGGCGAGTAAGTTGAGTACCGTTGCGGGAAAGGCAATGTCCCGAGCGCCACCGAAAAACCAACAATATTCACTTAATTTGTAAGAGCAACCACTGCAAAACGCGGCAAACCCCGGGACTACTAACAACGCCATGGACATATCAGCAAAACTCAAACTCGTCAGATAGATATTCATGTAGTTATCCATCATGTGTGATGTGGACAAAAACACAGCTACGGTGAAACTATTACCGAGTAGGATGGCCAATCCAATCACACCATTTAAGATCCAAAAGATGAAATCCAGCTCGTAAAAACAGGCGTTTTGGCTTTCATGGGAATGTTCTAGAAATCGAATAGGCACGTCGGGCAAAAGCGACATATTTTGTGGAGATACTTCGGACGACGACTTATTCATCTGTGTTTTTTTGAGATGACGGCGTTGGGCGATTTTTGCAGTCCTTGTACTACCAACGTGTTACTTCGGCTTAAAGAACCTCGGTTCCTTTTTGAGCGATCACATCAGCGTCGAAGCGCTCTAACCCATGTCCAACAAGAAGACGCAAAGTTTATACATCTGAGAAAATATTGCCCACAAATGGCGCGAGGATTTGAGTGACACAAAGTGATATTCCAGAAATCAAATCCAGGACGCCTCTCTCTCTGATTATTATCTTCTTGACTGTACAGTAAGTGTGATGCTATAAAATTAACTCTCTCGAGCAGATGCCCCTCTGTTAATAAACCCATGCGCAGCTGCTGATATTAGCCAAGGGGCTTCGGCCAACGTCACCGGCAGGAAATCGTTAAGTCTCAGATGCTACAGCTGGTAAACAAACAGGCAACGATGACACGACTTTGAGGTCGCGTATTTTTGCTTTAGCTTGGAGTTTTAACTGAGTTCGACCCAAAGTTAATTCAAAAACCAAAGATAAATTTCAATTAAATACAGTATTTGCCTAAGGAAAGGATGTTTGTTTTGAGCAAACAACAAGATAATATGCTCTGACCGTCAAAGTATATTCTCGTCGGGTGAAGCCAGAATTCTAATACCTTCACCGAGCACGAGTCAAATGGATTTTTTCCTATCTGTGAAATTGGACATAAATATTATTTGGAAACATCAAGATCGTATCTGTCTAAAAATCCGGTTGAAAATACAGCACCTAATTAACAATGAGAAGTCTTCGTTTCGAGGTTCGTTCACGACCAGGCAATCAGCCGTTTGAAAATGTCGCTTTGGCTTTGGGGCAAATGGATACAGTCAATTTTGCTGATCTTATTTCCATGTTTTGAAGGTGTCAAAATGCTAGCAAGTATACAAGTATATTATTTAAAAAGATTTAAGATGGACAAAACGAACGCGTTCTAAAATAAGTGGATTGAACAACGTCAGTTAGGCATTAGCACTAGATAAGTCATGGGCGGGAGATCCGTATGGTTGTTAACAATGGCGAGCAAAAGGCAAGCCATCGGTGTAAACGTAGCCTGCAGTGCAGGCGTCTTCTTCGGGTGCGCGAATGTTCATTGAATGTTTTGCTCGCGAAAGCGTAATGTTGTTCCCTGTTAGCAGAGGTCTCTCATTTTTGCTTCGTCGTGAGAGACCTCTGCTCTCCTTTCGAAACTCGAAAAGAGAGGAGAAAATTGGGCAAGTCAAAATAAGCGGGGTAGGGGGCGGGGAGAGAGAAGAAAAAACACCTGCCTGAAAACACTGTGAAAATGAGAAACACCCTCTAAATGATAGACTGCAAAACAGTAGGGTTTTTTTTCTCAAAATCAGTAAAGAAATCGGTAAAGCGTGGCGTAAGAGTCTTACGCGCGCAAAGCGCCCGTAGGGCGTGTGAGGCAAGAGAAAAAAAACCGTCTCTCTTAGCGTCTCTCCCCAGTCTCACTCTCTGTTTTCAGCCTCGTTCCAGACCTTTTGTTTGACTGCACACGCGTACTTGAATACGCAAAAATACGGACTGTTTTGCAGCAGACTGGTTTTGCAGTCAACCTAATTGACCACTCCAGAAAATACCATAACATACCATAATGCTCTTTGTTTGTCACCCTAAATTTCGCATAAGCATTGTCTTCTGTTTCTCTTGGGAGTTAAAATGGCTTCAAAAGAAACTGAAAACAATGCAAAATTTTGGGGTGAAAAACAAAGAGCATTATTGTATGAACTAAATATCAGTTCTTCAAGCTTTCCAGTTGCTTTTGTTATGGTATTTTCTGGAGTGGTCAATCAGTCGCCCTTGACCGCTGTTCCGGAAATGAGTAGCCGACCAATCAACACCGAAGATCTATTGCACCGGCATCTCCCTTCGCTTCTGATAAAATAAAAATAAACACATCTGTAGTGTACATTGCAAGCTGCTAGTTGTTTACGGGAAGGAGAGTAATGTCGTCTGATTCGAGTGTCAGTGATTATTGTAGGTTATCTGCGATTTCGTTTAAAGTTAAATTTGGAAGCAATCTTGGAAAGCAAGGCCATTCTTCTTCAGAAAATCAGTTCAGGCCATCAAAACGAAAGGAGTGCTCTCAGTGTGAAACAAGCGGCTAAAAAGTGGTGTAGCGTTTTAGCACTGCAAGAAAATCTTGTCCTGATGCCGGTGTAGAAATCGCTTTGACTTTCTCATTGCGTAATAAACGCGACATTCCCTGCCGCTCCAATTCCAAAAGACTTGTTTCGTTTCTGCGTCCGCCATTTCTGAAGTCAGAATTGCCGCAGTTGCGTGCAAATAAAAACAGAATAAACAATGTGAAAATCCAGAACCTGAGATAGGGAGGAGGGGTCCGGTATGCAAAAAAATTTTTTTCGGCTCTTTGGGCCTCAGTTTGGTTTAAAAATAAAGGGGGGAGCCCCCCCCCCCAGCCCCTCCCCCTGGATCCGCCACTGCATACCTAACATGAACTAACTATCCGTTTCTTCACTACATTAATCAAAATGGCAACAAACGGAAAAAAAACTCTAGTTCACCCCAAACGAAGCCTGCACCAAATACAAATGCAAATTAGACCTTCACGACGGTCCCATCCTAACGCGATGAGACGACAGTACTGTATGCAAAGAAAATCAAGACGGCTAAACATCAGCGCCAGCGACAAATGTAAACCACATGGGAAGAATAGCCCTTAACAAAAAAAGACGTAGGTTTGGATACGAAGACAACAATCCGATGGCCCAAAATTCACTGACCTCAAGTAGTATACTGTATACCTCCAGAAAATCCAAAAGAAATCACTACTCCGTCGAATGTGCCAAGAAAAAGATGATACTAATGAGTGATTGCAATACATTGGCCCAAAAGGAGAAAGAACGGAATGTACTAGAGCCCTTCAAGGGATTGTACGTCTCCGAAAGGAGGTACAATACAGCAGTAAGTGGTATGAACCTTCCCCATGGACCATCAATGTGAGACAAGTGGAGTGCGTTAGGTCAGGAGCCGATTACTCGGCTCCTGGTTAGGTAGAAAAGAAATAGGAAGACAGAGTTGAGAAATACCGTAGATGTAAGCAGATTCGGCTTTTGAAATCAATACCTTGTGTAGGAAGAATTCGGTAACCCCAGTAGCAATCGGACCATTAGAACAACAGATTACTTTGAGCGGCCCGGATCTAGACTACGAGTAGTCCCCATTTTTCCTCAGGGATAGTAAAGCGAGGGTAACGCGAGCGCACGTGAAAATCACCCCACGCGACAAAGGCGAGACGCGGCGGGGAGAGAGAAAAATGAAGGACTACAGACAAAGATGACTGTATTCCCTCATTTTTCTCTCTGTCTCACTGTCTCAGCAAGGCATATAGAGATGAATAATGTGAGTAATCAAAAAGAAGAAATTTATATATTTTTTTTTTGAAAAGTCGCATCATAGTATTTCATCCAAGGATCCTATAGATAGAACTGCATTTCATGTTTATGAGGCTTACTGTGGCAGTGAGCAGGGTTATGTTCCCATTGAACAGCAACAGCAATTTCTGAACTAGAAATGTGACATTTTTAACGATGCCGATTGTTGGAGAACCCACACTCTGGAATAATAGGGCAAAATAGATTCTTACTGCGAGGCATTTTGTATTAACTCCGCAGGACGTTTGGCAGAGGCTACTGAGGCTGAAACGTTTCCAAGACTTTTATTTGAAACAATAATAACCAGCACTGATCACAATTTAGTAAGGGATGCTTCTCTTAACCAATCACGGACATATATACAGATAAACGGGGTGGAAAAGGAAACCCAAACAATGCATTAAAAAGTGGTGACCGGTTATTGATTAGCCTGCAGTGCAGGCGTATTTTGGCCTGGCAAAAGCTGCTTGTTTATGTTCGTACAGATGTAACCGCTATCGTTGTTATGACAGAGGAAGATTAGGGAGAGTAAAAATAGTCACCCTAAGGGTAGGTGCTACCTCGCTCCTTTTGACTCGCCCCATTTTCTCCCCTTTTTTCGAGTTTCAACATACGCTTTCGCGAGCAAAACATTCGCGCGCACCCGAAGAAAACACCTGCACTACAGGCTAGTTATAGATTAGATTGCCAACTGCATATCGAAGAGGATGATTTTAAGGGCTGAGAAATTTTAACATTAACTTTTACTCGTGTGTAGCGTCCTATGGTGAATTTGGCAAATTCTTGTGTTTTTTGTTGGGGTTGTTATTGTTACGCATTTAGCGTATTTTGTTTTTTGCTTGTTTTTTTCTTTTTACTACTCTTCATTTTCTTTCCTCTATTTTCAGTAAGAAGCATACTCTTACTACCATAATGAGTGGCAAATCTAAGCTTAATGTTCCTTTTTCATGTCTCTCCTCACATTTCAAAGTTAATGGCAATTGAACTCCAAGCCTTGCAAGCAGGTACAAACTATGAAACGAAAACGTTGCTTGGAGGTCAATTAATATTAAGATAATAGAATAAATATAAATAACTGAGACTGAAGCCGCTGATTAGCCAGTAAGAATAAGCGATTACTTAACAGCACTATTAATACTCTCCATTTTTCTTCGAATCATACCTTTTCAAGTTATCCCATAAGTAATTTTCTGTTTGCTGTAATGTCGATCTAATGGGTTTTTCACTTAACACGTTGTTCACTCCATAAGCACACATCAGTTCACGTATTCGCCCCGGGGTATCTTTACTAGATGTCAATGTTAACTAAGTACGTGACGATAATATCACTCATTATTCCATGATAAGACCGTTTAAACTAAATATATAGCCTATGAGCTCTTTTTACCTCGATTCTATTTCTAATTACATATAACCATTTTTTGTTCGCACAACGGCCGATAATCCTATTAACACCCAGTCATAACTTATTTTCAGCTGATACCGATTTTTAATCAACCATCTGGCTCAGGTTTGTAACTTCAAACATTTTAGGGGCTTCTTTCTTC